TCGGTATCTTTGGGGTATATATAAAGGTGAGTATGCTGAGATGTAAAATGCTTGGGATTGATTTCCGCCATGTGTACCGCATCCAAATTTGACGCGGAAATATTTCACAATCCAAAAATAAAATTTATTACAATGACAATCTAAAATTTCAATGTCATTTTGAATGCATGATCCAAGAAGGAAATTTTATTCCATAAAATTAGAAATCTAGAATTAGGGAGAGAAATACAATAACAGTAGTACAGTGCACATATATTATACTGTATTCAAAGTAAAACAGCCATGTACATCAAATATAAGGTACCTTTCATGTAGTTATATAAATCTTTTTGATTTCACCCATGCTGTTAAGGTTTTTCTCGGTCTTATCAAAATAAAACTGTTCACAAAGCATTTAAATTTAGGTTTGATTTAGAATACAGTGTGATTAACATTTTTATACCTTGTAAACTCGAAAAAAAACCTTAAATGAAGTTTTGACTTAAGTTTATAAACCTTGATGCACTTTTAAAAATTAGTTTCATAACATCCAAGATGCACGTATCTGTATGAGATATAAAATATACATTGTATAAAATATTCCACCAATACCACGCCTTCCTTAAACTTATATAGATGAAAAAAGTAATGAAGAGGAGTGGTTTCTCCAGATCTTTTTGAATGATTTAAAATTTCGCGAACTAGACTTCTTGCTAAAGCTTGAATAGACATAATCATCAACTAGTTCATTTTGCTGGATTTGTTTTTGACAAAATTTTATCTTGCAAATATTTAAGAACGAAATTTACCGATTGCTAATTTTAAATTTATAATTGTAATTACATGTACCAATTTAAGTATTAAATAAATATATTTTCTTACCATTAGTAAGAGGAAAGATGTACATAGCACTATATATTAAAACAGGGAATATAAATTTGAATGCCTCCATCTTCAAGGTTTATCAGCACAGAAAACTGGATTTTGCGTCGATGTATTATGCAATAACCTGCATTTCAAGGTAGCTTGCGTTTCATTAAAGGAATTTCCAGGTGTGACAGAATACGCCTTAAACGTCAGATCTACCTGTTAAAAAACCCCTAACCAAGGAGGAAGTTACAAACAAGAGGCCCACGGGCCTTATAGGTCACCTCAGGAGCATTATGCAACAATTTTCCAGTTATTGAATTTGATTCATGTTTTAAGCCAGATGCTATATGACATTCACAATTTTGAAAGAGGCACCATTGATCATCATAACAATACACTTAGCAGTTGCTTAGCTTGGTTACTGAATACCCATATGCAGGGTAGGGGAACAAAAATGCATTCCAGCTAACCAGTAGTGCCCCTAACACTGTGACATAAACCCCTGACCCTAGGTCCACACATTGCACAAATTTCAAAAAGGCACCCTTAAGATAAAAAAATAAATAAATGTTTTATAAATTCAAAAGAGCAGATTTCAAACAATAAATTCGTTTTCAGTATATAAGTAGAGCCCCCACCCCGCCCCTGACCCTGGGGCTTTGAAATTCACAATTCTGCAAGATTAGGGCCCATAACTATAAAGGTAGTTCATCTGCTTTATACCCAGAGACAAAGAAAAAAAAATTCAAAGATTTAATGTATTTTCATTATATAATCAATTGAGCCCCGACCCCTAACACCAGAACCCCTGACCCTGGGGCCATAAAATTCATAATTTTTAAAGAGGCATTCTTGCTCATCATAACTATTTTCTTAGTTTATTTAATTCCTAGGAGCAGAGAAGAAGATTTTCAAAGAATTCATGTATTTTCACTATATATAATCAATAGAGCCCCGCCCTAACACCAGAACCCCTGACCCTGGGGCCATAAAATTCACAATTTTGGTAGAGGCACTCATGCTCATCATAACTATGCACTTAGTTAGTATATTTAATACCCAGGGGCAGAGAAGAAGATTTTCAAAGAAATCATGTATTTTCACTATATATAATCAATAGAGCCCCGCCCTAACACCAGAACCCCTGACCCTGGGGCCATAAAATTCACAATTTTGGTAGAGGCACTCTTGCTCATCATAACTGTGTACTTAGTTGGTTTATTTAATACCCAGGAGTAGAGAAGAAGATTTCCAAAGAAATAATGCATTTTCACTCTATACTTATTTAGCCCCGCCCTAGCACTAGATCCCCTGACCCCAGGGCCATTAATTTCACAATTTTGGTAAAGGACTCAATGCTGATTACAATCATGCAAACAGTTTGACTGCTTGATGTCCAGGAGTAAAGTAGAAGATTTTTAAAGATTGCATTAATTTTAGTGGTTTTGGCCCCACCCCTCAGGCCCCAGGGGGGCAGGGATTATGAAATTCATAATTTTTGTTCCCCTTCACACATAAATGCTTTGTGCCAAATTTGGTTGAAATTGGTTCAGTGGTTGCAGAGAAGAAGCTGAAAATGTTCAAATGTTAACACGCGACGGACGACGAACGACGGACGACGACGGACGAAAACGGATAGCAATAGGTCACCTGAGTTTACCTAAAAAGCGAATGATAACGATGCTTCTAAAAATTAAGTAGACAACAACACACATTCGGATATCTTATATGCGGACGTGAAACGTAGGATTTTATTTTTAATTTGTAATCATTGTATGATTTGTGAATAAAAGATAATAAAATAGTAAAGAGTCAGCGATTAATCTAAGTGTACATAAAAAAAAGTTTAGAAAATTAGAGAAATCGATTTTTTTAATAGTCCATTATAAATAAAAGTTCGTTTATCAGAAAGGAAATTACTGTAATGTAATTCACGTATCACCATGTTTTCTTTATGCTAGAATGTCGTGTATTCTATATGCTTCTCCAAGTAAAAAGTAAAGTAAAATAAGTCAGATTGATCCACATATTTATTACCATTCTATCCAAGGCAATAAAAGAACAAGTCACAAAAAAGCGGGCCACCAAAACACCAGTTATCATCGCAATGCTATAGTTACTTAGCTAACATGTTGCCAATAGATCCCTGGCAAAATTTATTCAACTGTTTATGGGCTGATTATAGCAACATCTATCGTAAAAAACGAATGCTTTTTTTCTTCCAGACTATCACATAAAGCCAGTTATGATAAACAACTTGTAACTTGTAACACGTGCATTTCAGGTGTCAACTAAATCCGTTATGTTTACATTATTTAACTTCTTAGTATTTATTGAATATTTCATTTGTTCATTACTCTCAATGATAAAAGAAAGCCCTTCAAATGCCAAGATTCCAATGGCAATCTGTTGACTCAGGACCCCTGGCGTTGCGAGGACGAGGATCAGTATGCTAACTAGGGAAAAACATGAAAAACCAACACTTAAAAAGTACATAGTTCTGTAAACATAACCATTTACATTGTATATGTCGCAACAAAGCAGAAAAACAATCACGAATCACTTGAATATCTATGGTAGTGGACTGGATCATGCGGGAAACAGCAAGACAGGAGTTCAGTGGATTTTCACTCTAAGTTTGGAAGACCTAGCTCGACGTTGTAGACAATTTATGCCTTATGGGCCAGCATATGCTGCTCAAGACAAACAGGCTTGGGAAGGAAATAGCACAGACAAGATAACAGGTGAACGTTGACGGAACAAAGGTAATGCAACTCCACAACATACAGCAAAAACCAGTTACGCTTGGAGAGCACAACCTGAAATATGTAGACTCTTTTAACATACTTAAGAGGCATTGTCACAGCCAATGATGGAACAGACGAAGACATAAAAGCAGGAATTAATAAAGTGAGACACGTCTTCATCGACCTCAAGCCTGTGTGGAGTTCAACAGCACCGTCCACACGCATAAACTTGTATCTATCACACCAATGATAAGTCTGTGTTTCTCTACGGGTCTGAACATGGAGCGTCACCAACACCACTTCCAACAATCTAAATACCTTTGCAAACAGACGTCTGTGCTACATACTAAACATCAGGTGGCCAGCAAATACACATGTATAAACAACAAGAACCTGTGGGAAACAAAAAAAAACAACAACCAATAACTAAGCCAATACCCGTAGAAAGTGGCAGTGGGTTGGGCAAATCCCCCGAAAACAATTGGGGAGACATTACACGCCACGCATTCAAGTGGAACCCCCAATGCAAACGTCCCAAAATATTGGAGGTGGAATCAAGTGCCATGGAGGAGTGAAGAACTCATGCCGACCGGTCACTCCCGCCGTGTGCTCTTTGTCATGATCGGGAAATAACGGAAAAGTCTGTTGTCTATTCAGTGTATAGATAGTAGGCTAAGAGTTAGTATGAAAAACGTACGTCATTCAGCATTTAACTCAATGAAAACTTGTTTTTGCTGAATAGAACATTGTATCGACCATAGACCTTTCAAAATAATGACTTTAAAGAAAATGCTGAAATTCCTGTTCCATCAACTTGTTTGTCAATAATTTTCCTCGTTCTAGAATTGTAAACAAATTTTCACTTTATTTCCCGATCATGACAAAGATCACACGAGTGTGACCAGTTGGCAGGGGATGCTAACTCCTCTATGGCACCTCATCCCACCTCTGATATTTTGGCGGTCCGTGATTTCTCTGCTTCAACTTTGTAGTGTTTGAACGACTTAAAGACTTGAAATCTGTTCATAATCTCCATATTTTTCACGTCTTAAGTAAATAATAATCTAAAAACGTTCGTTGATACTATTATATATGTTACAAAGGAATTATATAACAAAAGCAATTGACTAATGAATACATAAGTAAAACCTTTATTTCATGCGTAAGATATACAAATACATACCTCATTAAACATATTAAAGTACGGATAAACCAATTTCTAACAATTCTGAAAGCTTAAACTTCCGTAAAGGCTGTGTTTAAAAGGAAGTATCGTTAGTACGTATTTTGGTGACTGATGTACATCTTAAAAAATTGTCATCACCAAAGATAAAAAAGATTTACATTTGTTGATCAAAGTTTTTCAGATGAGAATTGTACAATACTGATGAACAATGAAAAAAATAGTCTTATATATGTTTAATGAAACAAAAAATATTTTTAAAGAGTTTAAAAGAGTATAAATATTCAATAACTTTCCTTCATTCTTTCTTTTTTTGGAAAATTCCCTTTTGTTGTAATTCTCATATTTGTTTTGAGGTAAATAAATTTCTGTAAATTGGAATTATCTGTTCTTGTATAAAATAGATTCACTTTGCTTGGTTTTTATCTTCTGAGTCCAATTGATGAAAGATAATCTTCTTCAAAATACTAAGATTGTCTTTAACTTTGTGTTGTAGGGGGGTCCAAAAGTTTGTTTTCCGTGACCAGTCACTTTATTTTGCTGTTTTCCTTAGTTAAATATGACTGTGGAAAGTAGCACAACATAATTGTAATTTTTTTAATATATGTCATATGTTTTATTGAAGTGTTTAGCGCGTTTAAAATATTAAACATACTTGTAAGATCTGGAAGTTTTTCATATCCGTGTTCCTCTTTCCTGTGTTTCAGTTCTTCGTATGTTGCACTGAATTGTCTAATTATACTGAAAAGATTAAGAAACGCAGGGTAAAGTTTTGAGGTGAATTAAATTTATTTTTCTTTTTATATTTTCAGTATTCCTATTTAAATTTTAAAATCATCTTTCAGAAAGATATAACCGAAATCCCATTTGATTTTGTCAAATAATTCATGGGTTATTGAAGTCCATATGACAAAACCCCCAAAAGGGAAAGTCGAAAACTTTTAATATCTTCAATTTCTCTACCGCGCATCTGTCATGAGTCGTCTTGATCATCAACTATCTTCGATATGTGTAAAAAAAGAAAAAAGCATGCGTCTATATGATAGAGACGATAGTCGAGAATATTTTGAAAAATTTAAGTCGGATACAATCGAACAAAAACAATGCTCTTTAATACTTTATTAAATCCTCATGTAAATGTTGGCTGCATAAAATAAAAATTGAAATCAATGCGGTATGTAAAATTTGATGTTCTAAAAAAGTGACCTGTCGTTTTTTCGATAGTAAATGACTAGCAAATTTATATACTAAAAGGATAAAGAAACGCATATTAAACATTTGACTTAAATAAAAGCAATTATTTCAAATATATTTTCCAGCATTGTTATCATACAATTTAATTCATGTTTAATCAACACTTTTCCCAAATTTTGTGTGATTTTAAGTGATAGCTCCTGACATATTGATATCAATATGTCGACGACCCCCAGAACCCAGCATGTTTGGTACTTGTGAATGTTTGTAAAAATGTCTCGACAAACATTAGCTACATCTTTCCAGTGTAAACATGCTAAAAAAAACATCACGCAAACGACGCGTACGTGCGTGTTTGAGAGTAAGATCGATGTAAGATGGACAAGCTCGCGGCCCAAATTAGAGCGGATAGTTTCGTTAGTTTAGGTTGAAAAAAGTGAGTCTGATTGTTTGCTGTATAAATATCAGTTTCGGTGATAATGCCTTGACAATAACAGAGGTGGCATTATGAAAAGGCCTATCTTGTTGTGAGGTTGTAACAAGCCAACGTCACCGTCATGGTTGATTGGAAACATTTTAAGTTCACTCTCTGACAACCAAAAAACTTTTATTTGGCTGAAAAGTAGAAAACAATCTGTACATCAGCAGGTTTTTGCCTTTATATTCTCTTATGCAATATTAAATTCAATTACTTAACCTACAGTAGCTTCCGTCAGCCATACCACGATTGCAAGAAATTTATACTGACTGCAAACATGCAAAAACGATGTCTAAAACTCTAATGCATAGTATGGTACTACAAAATTTTATTACAAAATTATCATCATCAACATGCACGTGTTTTTGACTTTTTATCATTTCCCTTACGAAATGCCATACATTTCATGGTTGAGTAGTTTTGACTAGCGATTTTAGTACAAAGTAACCAAAATACACATCTGACGACTGTTCATAATTTTCGGTCTGATAGTCAATAAATTGCCCCATATTATGTTCTTATGCGTTTCTTTTTCCTTTCAGTATATATTAAATATGCAAACATATATCTTTACAGATTCACTTTACTAAACTAAATATGTTATGTAAGTCGTAATTTCTTATCTCAATCCACATACACCAACATTTAAAAAAAATATATGTATAGAGCAGTCCGGTCCTCCGGGTTGCAATAAACGCTTTTTTTAAGGTTGCGAATTCATTTCCGGTTATCTTTTATTCCAAATCATCACCAAACATCTTTTAAAAATTACTTACGTGTATGATCCATTATCTGAACAGAGATGAGAGATGTAACATAGATTACATTTTATGATTTTAGAATATAAGTGGAATGTCATTGTGTCTTTTTAAAAATCATTTTCTTGATATAAAACGTATTTTTATGTTTTACAAAATGTCCTTACCCTTTGGCGGTCTTATAACGTCATATCCGTCTTCCTGATCTCGACTTTTCCGTGTCAGCCCTTCGTAATGAGCTCTTAATGAATAAATATGAGGTTTATAAATATTCATTATAAACGTGTCAATTTGTAACCTTTCGTTAAATGATAAAAGAACATATACCATCTACAAAACGCGAATAAGATAAAATAGTAACACATGAACAACTTATTATCAACTTGAAGTTGATTTTCTTTGTTGAAATTCATGCCCATTCTATAGTGTTAATCATCAAAACTGTTACAACAGCTCTATACATTAAAAATAAATATGTTTTCAAAATAGAAGCTTAACTTGTTTTTGAATTTCATTTATCTAATTTAAAGAAATAACGTGCCCTTCTTTAAAAAAAAGGGGGGGGGAGAGGTCTACCTCAAAGTGAGATTTTACTTAAAAGAAAACGACTAAAACCACCACCAATCCTTTCATGAGCATCTTATTTAAAAAGTCCTTTTGATCGCTTTAAATATACATATACTTTTTGGGTTAGCAAATTATTATTATGCAAATTGGTGAGAATATTATCTTTTATTTACAATGCCTTTGAGATATTTTATTATTCAGACTTTTTATGATAATAAAAATATACCCTACCTTTTCTCTGTTTCGAGACCTGAAAAAAATCGGAAAATTTTCAAAAAATAAAATTGTCAACTTTTATAAAAAAGAAAAGAAAAGAATTCAAATTGACTTATTACTGACTTTGTGTTCCAGAGATAGTGTATAACTCTGCCGTTTTTCTGATACTGTAAAATAAATAATTTATGTAAATTTTGCGAAAGCCCAGAAGGCTCATTCGAGATTCAAGTTTCCAAATACGAGATTCGAAATTCGAGTTTCGAAATTCAAAATCAAAACTAACCAATCAAAAGCGGGTTCAACATTTGATTACTCCCCTTTATTATGTTTTTACTATCAAGAAATCATTAAATATAATTATATCAAATGGGCTTTTTGATCAACTTACAATGCAAGAAAGAGTGTTATATAATGGAAGGAAATTTAAATAATTGTTAGATTTTTGATCAGCTAGATATTCTTCAATTCATATTATCGATTCTTAAATATTAAATAGATTACATATACCAGTGTTATATACATTTTTGTATTGTCTACTAATCTTATTTTTTATGTATTTCTTATATTAGGAAAAAACAAAGGTACTTGTTGACAGGACCCCCCCCCCCCCCCAGCCCTCACTTGATATTGAAACCCAGTGCATATTGGACATTTTAATTTTCACAAATTATATTTATTAACTCATTCATCATGTGAACAATACAAACAAATCGCTGGTGTAACCCCCCCCCAGAATAATCGCTCAGCAAAATTTAAAAAAAAATACCCCACTGTACATTAACCCACTATACAAGAGAGAATGCTGTTAAAGGAAAAAATGTGGGATTATTACGAGATGCAGAGTCGGTCCGATAGCATGGAATAAGACAGAAATATATGTAGAGACAGTGTGAATCGACATTAAAAGTTAAACTAAAATAAATGCATGTTAATAAACCCCAAAAGACCAGTGGGGGTACAACGTAAACAAACTGGAGAGGCATACCTTTCTCTTATAATGGATAGTGGTGTATTTTTTTTTTTGGGGGGGGGGCGATTATTCTGGGGATTTTACAATTTGTTGGTATTGTAAACATGATAAATAATAGATATATTTTGGTAAAAAAAAATGTCCGATAAGCCATGGGGTTGAATATCAAAGGGGGGAGGGTTCCCGTCTGTAAGTACCTGTTGTTTTCCTAATATATTGATTGATTGATTGTATATTGTTTAACGTCCCTCTCGAGAATTTTTCACTCATATGGAGACGTCACCAATGCCGGTGAAGGGCTTCAAATTTAGACCTATACTCGGCACTCAGGGCCATTGAGCAGTGAGGGTTCTTTATCGTGCCAACGCCTACCGTGACACGGGACCTACGTTTTTAAGGTCATATCCGAAAGACCCGTGACTTTCACTTCTAGTGCCGAGCGCTTGGCGAAGGAACAGTCACTACCTATGTTTACGTCTTAGGTATGACGCGGCGCCGCGAACGAGAATCGAACCCGGGCCTCCCGATCACGAAGCGAACGCTCTACCACTAGGCTACAGTGACCGGTTTTTCCTAATATAAGAAATACATAAACATTTATAAGATTAGTAGATAAGACAAAAGAAAATAAACTCATGATATATGTTATCTATTTAATATTTAAGAATCGATAATATAAATTGAAGAACATGTATATCTAACTGATTAAAAATCAAATAATTATTTAAATTTCCTTCGAAAATGTATAATACTCTTACTTGCATTGTAATTTAATCAAAAAGCCCATTTGATAGAATTGCATTAAATGGTTTCTTGATGGTAAAAACATAATAAAGGGGAGTAATCAAATGTTGAACCTGCTTTTGATTGGTTAGTCTGGATCTTGAATCTCGAAACTCAAATTTCGAATCTCGTATTTAGAAACTCGAATCTCGAATGAGCCTTCTGGGCTTTCGTCCTCTTCGCTAGCCAAGGGTTTCTGATACTCTCCTCATAAACCCTTGGCCTAAGGTGTTTTCCAGAGTTCTGATTGGATTTCAGTACACACCTGTCGACCAATCATCAATTTTTTTTTTTGTGAATGATGAAGTTTGCGTTCGGGATACCTCTTGACTTTTTAATCTCGAAATTGAAAAACGCAAGTAAACAACGATCCGTAAGATAACATGCAATTCTATGAATAGCTATGGTGTCATCCAATATCTTCTAAATATGTGATTAAGAATCTATATAAAAGGTTCCGATTTGTACTATAAGTAATAAATAAACATTACTCAATTATTGCTTCTAAATTATTCTTGAAAAACTTTAATTTAATTTTTTTTAATGAGTCTTTATTTCTGTCGATGACGTAATCTGTGCGTACCTGATAGATTCAAGATCACGTGACGAAAATAATCCCGTCTTTTGACTTCACTGTATACCAAGGGTTTATGAGGAGAATAGCGAATCAGAAACCCTTCAAGTTGGCTAGTGAAGATGGGTTATCTGAAAATTTTACTCTATATCGATCTCATTAAAATTTGAAGAAACTTTAAATAGGTAAATGACAACGTAAAATCGATGAAAGATTGTTTTACCGATAAAAAATATCAACGAAGCGTAATATTGTCAATTAACTTGAAAATGTTTACTGTGAAATAACTCCTTTCCGTGTTGTCACTTTGTGCTTTGACCCAAAGATTAATGTACGAGTAGTGCTCCATTCCTTAAAAGTCATGGAATCAGGGTCCCATTTCGTTAAAATTGATTTTGTGAGTAGTAAACATGAGATAGTTTTAGAAATAAACAACTTAAAAAGTGCAAATTCATTTTTAGAAAAAGTTAGAATTCATTTTATTCGTAAATAGTTCAATGATTTTTTTTTATTTCAAAACAATAAAGGAAAAACATCTGATTTTATATAAAATACTATAAGTTATATTAGTTTGATTTTACAGAATCAAAGACTAAAGACATAAAGTACGTAGAATTTGCCACGGTTGTCAATCTTGTATTTTCCGAATAATGTAAATATCTAACATTCTTTTAATTATAAAAGGACCTTTTCTGATCCTAGAGCTTAAAATTTTTAATTTATTTCTCTTCGTCTAAATTTTATAGTTTATAAGGTTAGAACAATATTGACTGATTATTTCATGTAATGTTACCGTTCTTACCTCGAATTTTGTTTCCTTTCTGAAAGTAATATTATCCAAACATTATGCTAAAAAGATTGACTAATTTAAAAGGATAGAAATAATGATTATTCATAATTTTATCGGAATACTTACCAAAACATAAAATTTGGTATCTTCTGTTAAAGATCAAAAGAGCAACAAGTACAACGAAAACAACTCCTCCTATTGTTCCGCCAGCGATGATTTCTAATTTCGATTTAGGTGTTGGAAATCCTAAACAGAAAAAAACAGTCATGAATTATATAATGGCTTTACAAGTTTTTGTCAAATTTCATCCATTAAATATGAAATTTGAAAAAAAGAAAAAATCATCTCCAATACTGGAATTATAAACCCATTATATCTTTATGAAAATTATATTAATTAAGACAGAAATGTGATTTTTGTGAACTTTTTATTTATTATATGATGCCCAAAACGACAAAGCAGCATTCGATGTCAATCTTGATGTTTTATTTAAACAATAAATGCTTTCTTTGTTTGTTGTTACTGGAATGAACGGAAGTAGCTGTTGCAGAAAAAATACATAACCCGCGTAAGCCAAGAAAGACATTTTATTGTTTATATTTATATCTGTTTAAATTATCATTTTTAGTAGGATTAAAAATATTAATTATTGTGTTAATGATGCGAACGTCTTTGTACGTTTCATTGATGGAACGGCCACTGATCAAGAAATCTGTACAGGCGATATCCCTAATGTAGTTTATGCAGGGATGAACGCAATATATTTTCTTAGGAAATAAAGAAGAAAATATTCAGTGGATGTAAATATATACATGTACGTCACTCATACGTATACGTTATGTTATACTTACGATTGCGTAAGGACTATGCTTTTTCGTAATATTTGACTTTTATAACTATAGGTGTAATAATGTAAAATCACATATTTCGAGTGGTCATATTTTCGTGTTAGGATAAAAAAAATTTGGGTCTGTGGGGATTTAAATTCGTAGATGAAGAACTGTTGAGTAGTAATGCATGTGAAATATTATATTTCATAGAGAACATAAATCGAGGGTCTATCCGTTCCTTACAAAACATGAAAATTAACGCCCCACGCTGAAAATTAGTGGTTTCACAGTATGTAAAAATGAGTCGACATCGGTTAAATAGGTTCATGAGAAGAAAGCTAAATGTTTAAATCTTTTGCAGACGAATCAAAAACCACTGGATCGCACAACGATGGACAACAATGGAGAGCAATTTGTTATCTGATTTATTCTGGTGACCGAAAAAAAAGAAGAAACTTGCTCGATGATAACTATGATGTATTTTATAAATCCCGTGAAAAAACGCATGCATAATAAAATATTACCGTTTCCTTCCTGTGTTGTGGGTGGGTTAAAATATCCAGTTGTATAGACAATATGTGCAGTAGTTGAAGAAGTGATACTTGTAGACTTCACTATCCAAAGGAAACAAAAAGATCACTTCAGAAGATAAGCGATCGTTTTAAAGTTTTAGATAAAAAGATTTATAACACTTGTCTTCTTGAAATATAATTCATTCTCATATTCCTTATAAATAATGATATAAAATAAGGTTACTTTTTCAAAGTGAAACTAAATGAAAATCAACCTTTACTCTAAAGCAAAAAAGTGAACATGAAACAATTCCTTACCAATTTGTAAACTCAAGTTTCTAGATGCGTTGAAAAATTTTCCATTGAATCCGTTGAATGCAGTACAAGCGTAACTCCCTGTATCATTTTCCTGGAGATTGGTCAGAAGAAGTGTCCCATTTTTGGATGATAGTTCTCTACCTTTGTCATTCGGATTGGCCTTGAACGTCCATAGGTACCTATTGACAGTCGTACTTTTGTAGATTCCAGGAGTTGGATTACCATCAGCTTGACAAGTCAAGGTCACAGAGGAACCAACAGAATATTGAGAGTCAGCACCAATATCTGGTAACTTCTTTATCATGGGAACGTTGACCTTAACTATAATTATATAAAAATAAAAAATTGGATTTAAGGCCAGTGTCCGAAGCACCTTCCTTATTCCATAGAAGTTTGCGTACCTATCAATTTTACCGACAATTTCAGGAAATAAAAAAATACGTCATACCTATAATAAGAACACTTATAGGTATTACGTTTTTTTTATTTCCTGAAATTTTCGGTAAAATTGATAGGTACGCGAACTCCTGTGCTTATTCTAAGAACTCTGACTTAAACACTCTAAAGAACGTCATAGTGATTGCTGCAAATTATCATAAAAATACATGTATTTAGAAAAACTCTTCGATGCGTACATTTTTCTCTCTTTAAACTATTGAATACAGGGTCTTTTCGAACCATGTTATTTTGACCCTTTAACTTTTGTTCTGTTTTAAATTCGCGCCATTACAGATTTGCTTATTATTATACTGTCTTCTTTGAATTCAAAATTAAAATTTGCTCACTTGTGTCTAAAGCAAAAGGGGCAAAAATGAAACAGATGCGATAATTTCCCTTATACAGTATATTATTATTTTATGCGATTTACAAACTATATATCTGCTTATGTCCTCTCAATGCTAGTTACACGTGATTTAAACATAAAGATTAACTTACAGAATACATTGACCCTTTTAGATTCTTGGTTAGGTTTGTCTCGGTCTGGCATTGTTAACAGTTCATTGTCCACGAAACATCTCCACACCGTCTGATCATCATACTTCGTCATCCTGTATGTTACCTTGCTGGTTACGTTGAAGACGCACACGCCTTCCTGAACTAGTGGAGTGGCGGTAGACACTCCTGTCATTTCCTGTGGAGCTGTTATCCCGTTCCTGTAGCGCCACCACCTGATTTGTCCTGGAGGTTTTCCAACATTGGCTGTACAGGACAAAGTCACTTCCATGTTCTCTTCTATATTGTCTGGTACAGGAACTGGAATGTCATAAGGTTGTTCAGCAGGTGCTGTAAAGATTTACAGATATGTTATTTAACAATTCTCATTTAGTTTTATTTGCACCCAAGTGAATTTGTAGATGCTCATTGAATTAAGACTTTAATGCATACAATTATTTTCCAGTGTGCATGCATATTAAATATTGTATATCAGTACTCCTGGTAAAAATAGAAATCCATACCTCTAACTGTGAGAGATGTTTCTTTTGTCCTAGTTATGGGACCTGACCCAGTATTAATAAATAAAATAGAACATCTGTAGTGATTCTCATCTGAACACATCACCTCGTTTATTCTCATCACAACAACATAAGAATTAGCTCCATTAGCTGTAACATTTAACAATTCTGACCGATTCTTATAATCATTGGCAAAGTCTGTAAAGGAATTAGAACCACCGGGAGGAGAAAAAGAGGCCATGTTTGTAAAATCGGACGTCCCTGATCCTGTTTTAACTTGCCAGGAAATAGTTCCTGGATAGACTGTATCACCAGAGTCTAGTGTATACGTACAGGTGAAGTCAACAGAGCCTCCGATAGTGGCCGTGAGAGAGCCGGCTGTGGAAACTGTTCCAGCTAAACTACCTTTAATATAAGAAATATGAATCAATTCAATTCGATCAGTAAGTGAGACAATGTTTTAATTATCTAAGGTGTATGACACATACTTTTGTCTTTATTCAAAGTTATTACATGTTAAATGTTTTTAGATAACATGTTGACAATAATTATTCATTACTACACATTTAGATATCTGAATAGGAAAACATCATAAAAATATATAATAAACTTCAAAATGTAAATCATTATAATAATCTCTCTGAAAATAAGCTGCATCAGAGCATGTTTAAAAGGAAGAAAATTGTTGGCAAGTGTACAAGGCAAATATAGCACGGGTCAAAAATAATTCTATTTACAGTATAAGGAAATATTTCATTATCGTTGTTGTAAAGGGTGATGATGGCGCTGATGCATTTTTGCAAATGAAACTTTACCTTGTACTATTACATTGTAATAATAAGTTTTAAAGATGATATTGAAAGATCCCTGGGAATGACCAAGCTCAAGTCAGGGACGCTACAAAAAAAATACTGGTAGTACACCTGTACTAAAATCCTAGGTCCTCTGGATATAGGGAAAACACACGATTCGTCTAGGTCTCAACAATATTTATGAATTAAAAAACAGTTCTCATTTCAACAGGTACAATAATACAGACGAGTGCATTTTGGTGGCGTCTACCGGACAAAAACGATGACGTTTCAAAACGTCAATAAGCATCAGATAACGATGCAATTTTGTGTTTTACTCAGGAAAAATCTCGAATTTTCTCTTCAAATTGTGAAGAAACGAAAAAATATATCACAGGTGAGTTGTGCACTTGTGAAGAAAAAGTACAGGCAGTATTTGAGTGACAGAGACTCGGTATTGGATGAGGACAATCTGTGAAGAAAAAAATCTTATCAGCAACTTTAAAAAGTTGGAACTTCAAGGAAAGATATATGCGCTTCAGAGTTGCTTATCCTCTGCTTATCCTCTGAAAGCAGAGTTAAGTAATAAAAGAAATTAAAACCCTAACAAGGGAATTTATACATCGAAAAAAACTGTTAAGAAATAAATGTCAAATATTAGAAAAGGTTTTTAAATGAGTTGGTATTAAATAATACTGTGTGAAATGTATTGGGATAGTCTTTTTATTTTTTAGAAAGAGCAAGAGCCACTTTTGGCCTTATTTGGCCCTGAGAATATATGAAAAATCAAAACTGCTCAGTTTAGGTTGCAAATGCCGCATTTATCACTTGGAATGTTGGTAACCACCTACCTATTAATCGTGACGTAATTTCACATCTAATGAATGCATGATGACGACACAAAATGCGTCATTTTTCTTATATTTTGTAAATTTCTTTGAAAATGACCTAAAATTAAAGCATTTTTTTTCAAAATCTTTCATATAGAGCACAACCTATGATTCAAAACGTGCAAATGCATAATGAAAGCTCTGTTTCTGATGATAAAAAAACATGCTTTATTTTTTGGATCGTGGGCTGCACTCATATTTTAATTCATTGCTGAAGTCAAATGCGCATTTTGTCTGCAAATTTCAAGAATATTGCAATTTATCAACCCTTTTTTCCAATATCGGGATTCTCAAAACGTACTTTTATGATAGAAAATTAAAGCACCAAGTGTCTACTTTATTTTGATGTATAGAATGGGAAAGAGGGTTATAGTAAATTAATCGATATAAGTACAGGGCCATTTTATGCATAACATGGCTCTTGCTCTTTTTGACGCTATATTTCGACGTTACATTGCCGTAAAGTGTTCTCCGCGTGTACAAAACATTTTGATTTTAACATAAAATTTTTAAAGTAAATTTTTTACTGTTAAATCGAAGGGATAGATACTGTACACTTCAACAAAACAAATATTTTTACATACTATATTATGCTTATTCTAAATTTCTAGTGAGTAATAAAACGAAGATTTACACCGTCCACGAATTTGTTGAACAACCATCGTATTACGGCTAATCCACTCACGTTGAACTGCTAAGATAATGACAATGTACTCAAGAAATACATACAGATTTTAGATGAAAAGGTAAATAATTCATGACATGTAAAAAAGTAATACGAATAGTCCATTTTCGAGTTACCGTATTCCGGCAGGATTCTAACATTTAGTTTGTACGTAAGTCACGTGATTTTTATTAAAATGCGGGGCGCATCACTTCCGGTGAAATTGTTGACATTGGAAACATCGTCTGCATTGAAATGCCTCGCTACTACTGTGTAGCTGAAGGCTGTTCATCAGATTCTCGTAAAAAGGGAAGATATGGCTTCATGGCCGATGTGGAATTCTTTGCGTTTCCCACCTCAAAACAACCCAAACTCCGCAAGAAATGGCTGGAGTTAGTTAGACGCCATGAGTTTGACCCCTCTCGCCACGATAAAATTTGCTCGAAACATTTTGTAGAAGGCAGACCTACTGAAGCCCACCCGTATCCTGAACTGTATCTATATATTAACTATAAACGCCCACAAGAGACCCGTGGAACTTCTTCCATTGAGAAAAGATCCACATGTACTACGAGTGAAGCCACGCCCACAAAATACGAGTCTACACCAAGGCCTAAAACAACGGGGTTTCTCGTACATGTACGTATCATAAGACATTGTAGGCCTTAATTTCATTATTTTAAACAATGCTCTGAGTCAATTTATCACCAATAATTTGATTATTATTCAAATGATTTAAAATAAATATAACCTATTAATTGTACATGTAGGATGAAAATGAACGAAAACAACCTTTCCCATTCCCAGTGGAGAGAGAAATAACTGTTCAATCCTTAATGACAGCAGAACAAATAGCAGGTATGTTGACTTATGCACAGCCTTTAATTTGTAATAGTTCTGAAGAACTCAAAAGCAATCAATAAGCTAATAAAAAACCCTTTTTTATCTATTTAGCCCCCCATGATCATGATTACTGTTCAGTTGGCAATGAAGTGGTCCATTCCTCTGATGTACAATGTCAGACAGACTTGACCCTGCATGACCTAGAGAAATCTGAGGCTGAACTGTTGCAACTTCGAGACACCTTCAAGAACAAAGATGATCTGAGGCGGTACATGACAGTCGACAAGATGACAAACAGTGATAGCTCCGTTATGAGTTATTTTGGACTGCCATCTGTTCTGACTCTATTTGGAATCTTCGGTAAATTTAATGATATTTCTAATGCATGTAAAAAAAATTAACTAAAGCAAAATTACATATGATTTGACTTCATGTTTACTATACCATAGCAAAATTAGAATTAAAAGTATAGAACAGATAATTCTGAATGTAAAATACTAGTATCTCTTATCTTCTTCTTATTACTTTACAGCCATACTTGACAAAATAACACCGACACTTGCATATTGGAAGGGTGGATCAGCCATTCCTAATACAGAAGCCAAGAATCCTTCCAAAAAGTCTGGCCCAAATAGGAAGCTGACTCGTTTTCACGAATTCCTTGTGACTCTATTAAGACTTCGTCTAGCTTTACCTACATTTGTAATTGCAGATAGCTTTGGTATTTCTTGCACAAGGGTATCACAAATTTTTGTCACATGGATTAGTTACATGAATACTGTATTTTCACCACTGTTGAAAAGACCAAGTTCCAAGTGTTTGAAAAAATTTATGCCAAAATGTTTTAAATCAGTTTTTCCAAAAACAGCTAGCATAATTGATTGTACTGAGTTTTTCATTGAAAGGCCATCTACACCTACTGCACAGATAAGAACATTTAGTTCATATAAACAGAAAAACACATTCAAAGCTTTAGTTGCTGTGACACCCTCTGGAGCTTTTATGTTCGTTTCTAATCTTTGGGGAGGAAATGTGTCAGATAGGTACATAACAGAACACAGTGGATTTTTAGATTTAGTAAAGCCTGGTGATGAAGTGATGGCCGACAGAGGGTTTTTGATCAGAGACTTGTTGTTAGAGAGAAGGGCTACATTGAATATACCACCATTTACCAAAAAGTGTTCATGGGGAAAAGGTAAACATCTAACTGCTCACGATATTTTGAAAACAAAAAAAATTGCAAAGCTTCGGATTCATGTAGAAAGGGCAATAGGCAGATTGAAGAATTACAAAATTTTATCTCATACTATTCCATTAAAAATCAAACCATTATGCAATCAAATTCTGAGAGTGTGTGCATTTTGAAGCAATTGTCAAAAACCTTTAGTGAAGTAAGATGCATGAACTATGAAGACAAAGTGTTTTATATATTTATATTTGCAACTGGTTTCTCTTACAAAACTATTAATATTCAACCACTAGTATTAACTCAGTCACATGAGTAAATGTACTATAGATCATGATATTTTGTTGATACATATGTACATGAATATGTTAATTTTGTACTTTTATACATGTAATGTCATCAACTACAGAGTACTGATATAGTTGTTTGTAGATCTACCATGAGTCCTTTCTGAAGATAAATAAACAATAAATATTGTATTTAAGCAATGACTTTTGACTTATGTTACTTAAATTAGTACATAAACATATACACAAATCTTGTGAACACATTTTATGTTGTTCAAGTGTTTGAATTTTGGTGCAACAGTGCATTTAACACATACTTTTCAAAAAATCTCCTGCATTTATGCACAATTTCAAAATACATTTCAGGGTCAAATGATATCCGATCAACAATGATTCCCTTTCTTGTGAAAAAAATAAAATCACACCACAAAGATTTGCAAATGCCCATTTGCCCCTGAATTTGAATATACCATGGAGACGTCTGTTTCAATCTGACATCATTGTTTTCATCGATGTATAAATGATAATGATCATCTTTACAAGCTTCTAAAGGTTCAACATTCTGATATGTGAAACTACATTTTATCTCCATAAGACCTGTTCCACAACACTTGCATGTAATTCTTCCATCGGGTGAAGCACCCATAAAAGGATATTGATCACAAACAAACAACCCACATGATTCTACATTTAAATTTCTGTGTGATTTTTTGTATAAATCAATGTACTGTTGTCTGGCCACAGGCTCATACTTTTTTCCAAATGCAATGGAAGGTATCATGGAACCATCCATTGAGCTGCCAAGTACTTTTTTTAAAATATAATTTTCAGGATTGTCATTAAATCTGAAATGCATAACAGATGGGAAAAGTGATGCAGTAACCCTGCCATATCTATGCTCAAACCAAAGAGTGTTGTCAGATTGACCTCTGGTTACCTTTTCTATTTCTTTTACAACATCTGGTGTGTAAATAGTTCTCAAATGTTCAAAAACCTGATTGTTTGATGAAAGCGTTTTTAAAGCATTTTTTAGTGGAGGAACATCTATTTCATCATCAGATGAATTGTCATCACTTGGGGGGTCTAATACCTGCAATAATAAGGAGTTGCTAGACTTAAACAAGTTATATACATCTTTTTCAACCTCTCTGTGGTTGATCTGTCCACAAGGAGAGTAATTTTCAGGGATTGGCAAAACTTTTTTCTTTGTAGTGGTATTTCTCTGCAGATCAATGCTGTCTATTTCCATTGGCTCTGATGTTTTCTTAGGTTTGTCCCACATACACACTGTGTCAGTACATGCCTCTGAATAACGGTCCTTGTGTCGGTCATTGAAACTTACCAATGAAAACAATAAGGCCACACAATGTTTACATGTTCCATTACCTCTGAAAAAGAAAATGCATAATATTCAACACAATGTACATGTAATACTATGTCATTGTACATGTGTAGGTGTTCATGTAATAACTTCATGTCTTTTATTAAAATTTGACTTAATTAATTCAATATTATATTTAGGGTTATATTTTTGTTCTGATTAAGCTATTGAGTATCTCTTTCCCACAAAATACAATGATTATACATCATAATAGATGCTGAAACTTTTTAACAAATTTAAACTGAATAAGATTTTCAAATGGAATGATGAAATGAAGATGATAAACCATACCAATTTCATACCAGATGAATGGCTGATTACAAGGAAATGCTTTAAAATGGTTACCACCAAGTTACCAGCACTGGGGTAGAAGACAGGTGATGTATTAATGTGAAGTCAACGATTAAAGTACAGAAAAGACTTGTTCAAATTAAAAGCCTTTTAAGTAATTCTCTCAGTTGCAACACAAATTTAGGAAAGCGTAAAATCTGAGAACACTGGTAAAAAGGTAAAAAATAAAAGCACATTGGATTAAGTTAACATCATGTAAATGGTAAACACTAAAACAGCAAAACAATTTATTTAGCTTACACAACACAAGAACAACCTCCTGAAAAAATCTGCCCATTTGTTTTTACAAGTACCCAAGTAACATATGGGGCCTCAGTCTGTCGAGTTTCTGGTACACAGGATGCCTTCAAATAAAAGTATGGTAAGGTATCTGTTACTTCCGCAATGGTAACATCACTGATGTGGTTGTCAATATATAGTTTGTAACCATTATCCTTTCTGTACCCTGTTAACCTAGAGGCCTCCCAACCACAATTGTTCATAAGGTACACCATGACATCACATGATTCAATTGATGGTAAATTCGTCAAATTCTCTGACCATTTTTTAATTTCTTGCATCGGCAAGAAACCCTTTTCATTATTTCCATTGACAACACTTGGCAATTCATCTAGGAATTTAGAAAAAAAACAGTTGTTCAATATTATAAAATTTGGATTTTTAAGCAAATAGGTATTATTGAAGATAGATTAGATATATGTAATTCATGCTCATATTGAGCAGAAGCTATTGCAATGGCCATGTTCATGATGGCTGTTCCATTTATTGAAACAAATATGGAGAATAACACAAGGAATTTTTAAAATATAAATCCCATTTGCCATCAAGGTAAGGGTTTAAAAAATGTAAATCATATTTTTTGGTAGATATTAAGTAAACTCATAACTGCATCCATATGTGCAAAGAAATTTTGAGATTGAATGTGTGTGTGGCGGTCAGCCTGGCTCGAATCCAGGTCTGGTCCACTGCATTTTTCTCCTCTCCCATTACCATGATTACACGTTACTTAATCAGTTAATGTGTTTGCACACACTATTGTAGATAGAATGTTCTATCGTTAAAATGATATTGTCCTACGGACCCGGTTTAACGATAGAATTCGTTCCGTGTATTCGTAATGTAGCAGAAAGAAACACGGGCGATAGTGCATTTACTAGGAACAATCTAGAGAGTTCCGAATGTAAACGTTTGAATGGAGAGAAAAACGTTGAGAAAATTAATTGGATTTACGTATTTATATGGATTATTTTTTGGGATGAAAGGCATAAGCAATCTCAAGAAGGTTTGTTTTGATTATTTTGGTAGTTATTCCCAGTGCAAATCATTTTATATTCTTCAAAATCGTTTCGGAGCGGATCCGCTCCGATTTGCTACGTTGCAAGTATATGGGACGTATTCTAACTGTGGTGAGGGCCTGTACCGAGACACAGTTAGATTATTCTAACTAACACTATTGCAGTCATGAGTTTATTATATCTCTAAAAAATAATAATGCAATGCTGAAATATCACTGTACATACTTCTTTATATTTAAATTATTCTTGGGGAGATAATCATTTGATTCTCCAAGGCTTTGTTTATCTGGTTTATCAGCTGTTAAATTACATTCAACATGTTCAAGGCTTTAATTTAAAACATGGGCTAATTAATATGACAGTCCCAGGTCCTTTTAAATATTATATATATATATATAATGTGTAGAAATCAGACAAATGTTTCATAATAATCCTATATTATGCAAACTAAAATGCAAATCTCATGGTGTTTCATGTAGAGTGCCGATTTCATCACTGTTCAATGAGAACACTTTTTATACCTGCTTCGTCGTTTAGAACTTCTAACTTTAATTCCTCCGCAAGTTTACATAATCTTAGCAAGTGATCTCTTCTATAAAAGTGACATGTAACCCCTCGATCACGCAAAAACCGCTTTAAATCTGGTACTTTGCACCTTTCGAAATTCATCTTGGGGAAACCGGAAGTTGATGTGCCCGCATCGAGTACAAACTAAATGTTAGAATCCTGCCGGAATACGGTAACTCGAAAATGGACTATTCTAACATTCTCGGTCAATGTTGTCACAACGTTTTGACACACATAGAAGTCCGCCCACTAAATAATTATTAACTAGTACATCATAGTTAAATTATAGTCATCTGCATGACAGGTTCTTACAATATTTTTCTGTAACTGAAAGAAGAAATTTAAATTCTACACTAAAATTTATTTTGTGTCATTTACGTTTCATTAAACCAATTTGTTTATTTTATGTTGGTTTTAAATTTCAAGACATGGCACTGAAATATTTACCTAAAAATTAATCATTATTTGTGATCATCTTAGTTTTAAACAAGAAAAATATAGTTTTAGTGTTTGAATATTTTATTTAATCAAAATTATTTGATGAATATCAAATAGTACAAATTAATTTAGGTTGGCTTAGGTGTTATTATGAAATATGTTTGGAACAAGTTAACCACCATGCATTTCGGTCTCAAACATCGAACGAGCTATCCATCCCTTGTTAACCGGAACTTTCTAGAATCTTCTGGAACATTCAAGCAGCGTGGTCAGATCAATACGGAAAGAAAAAGGATAATCCTTCCTCATCAAACGAACCAAAAGCATCATGCCCCCAGTAAGAGACAAAAGAACAGTGGCTAATAAACGGCGCAGAGACGATATCGGGTCAGCAGCCAGGGGAAAAGGCAGGAGAAAACGTCCCCGCCCGGAGGCGCAAACACAGCGTCCCTCGGAGGACCCTCTCCCTCTCCCACCTCCTGCAGAGCCGACCCTGTCGGGCCATGAGACGCATACAAGTACTGGTACCGGACAAGAATCAGAGTTACCCGGTGAGTCTCAGGTCACATTGTAAATATAAACACGATAATGTTCAACAGGTGCAAAATAACCCAATATGTCAGCTTAGTTTTGTTGATACTTTAGGAGCCCATATTCCTAATAAAGTAAAAAATAAGATTTGGGAAGGTCAGTTTATTGATTTGTCATTGCTCCTAAAATCAGCTGCAGAATTAGAGTATTTTGATTCGCAGGGCAACCTCGGATTAGGAATGGCACCTTATATGTTGCTAATCCAAAGAAAAACATTTCTTACCTATAGAGAAATGGACCTCAGCATTTTTGATTTACTAGCATTATGTTAGAAAAGTTTTGTTCTAAAGCACAAGAATTGTTAAAATATATCAGAGACATTGGGCTGGCAGCAAGTAGGTCCAGTACTTGGTACAAGTATGATGACAGTTTCGTCTACGCAAAGCCCTTTCACCTAATACTCCATGGGGGGAAGTTAATTCTGAATACTGGCTTATGTATATCAGCTGGAAATACACACACAAGTTATAGTCAGCAAGTTACAAGCATGCAAAACACTCCCTCAAATAAATTACCATTAGGCAAACAAACGGGGGGTTGCTGTTTTGTTTACAATGCTGGTAAACCCTGTCCTTTTTTCCCCAGATGCAGGTATAACCACATGTGTAGCCAGTGCGGAGGAAAACACCCTCAAGTTAAGTGCTCAAAACAATCGCTCAGTTTACTCACTAGGACAGACACCTGTAAAAACTAGCTCATTGGCAAAACATTTGGAAGGCTATAAACATGCCAAATTTTTACTTCAGGGTTTTACTTTTGGTTTTAGGCTACAATATCAGGGCCAACGGGGGGCAAGAGAATGCAGAAATCTCAGTAGTTTATATGAAAATTTGTCAATAGCAAAAAAAAAAATCACAAAAGAGGTAGCGTTACAACGAGTAGCAGGGCCATTTCCAAACCCTCCTTTTGTTTGTTTACAAGTTTCCCCATTAGGTTTAGTCCCCAAGAAGGACGGTGATATGCGTTTAATTCATCACCTCTCATATCCTGAAGGAAGTTCTATCAATGATTTTATTGACCCTATGGCCTGCTCGGTTAACTATGCAAGCATTGATGAGGCAGCAGATATTATAGCTTCTTTGGGAACCGACACATTATTGGCTAAATCTGACATAAAATCCGCTTTTCGCCTTATCCCTATATCACCAGCTGATTTTGACCTCTTGGGGTTTAAATTTCAAGGTCAATATTATTTCGACAAAATGCTACCCTTTGGGTCTTCCATAAGTTGTTCATTGTGGGAGAAATTTGCATCATTCTTACATTGGCTTACAAAACAACATTCGGACAATGCTCATATTATCCACTACCTTGATGATTTTCTCTTTTGTGGCCCCAAGTCTTCCGCGGTTTGCGCAAATACATTGCAACATTTTAGAACCCTCTGCTCAGATATAGGCATACCGATAGCCGAGGACAAGACTGTAGAACCAACCAATGACTTAGTTTTCCTAGGCATTAGATTTAACACTTGCAACATGACCATGTCACTACCTACAGATAAGATTGAAAAATTACAAGAAAACATCAATATAGTGTTGCAGGCCAAAAAGGTCACACTTAAACAAATGCAGTCACTATTGGGACTTCTAAACTTTGCTTGCAGAGTGGTAGCGCCAGGTCGAGCATTCTGCAGACGCCTCATTAATTCTACCATTGGCATCAAAAAACAACACCACAAAATCAGAATAACACAAAATATCAAACTTGACCTACTCGTATGGACAACTTTTTTGAAAGACTACAATGGAGTATCAGTTATTAACACCCCTTTGGTTGACAGTCACACCGTTCAATTGTTCACAGACAGTGCTGGGGGAGAGCGGGGTGGATTTGGTATATATTTTGGTGGCAAATGGGCTGGGGGTCAATGGCCACAACACTGGGGTTCAGTGGGCATTCTTAGAGACATGACATTTTTGGAGCTGTTCCCTGTACTGGTGGCTCTTACACTTTATAACAAAGACCTACAAAACACTAGACTTCTTTTTCATATTGACAACATGTCAGTGGTACACATTATTAACAACTCTACCAGCAAATCAGATAGAGTTATGAACATTGTATGCAAACTGGTACTCATTACACTGCAATACAACATACAAATCAGGCACGTAGCATCGTTTTTGAAAGTGGGGGGGGGGCACAACCTGAGAAAAATTTTTTGTTTACTCACCTGAAAAAGTTGACAAGCAAAAAAAAAAAAAAAAAAAAAAAAAAAAAAAAAATAAAAACGCCCAAACGGCAAAAACCGATATGGGGGGGGGGGGGGGGGGGGGGAGTGGCCAACTTTTTCAAAGCTAACTTACTATCATTCCAATGTTTTCCTTACAATCCTTGCTATCACTATACTATGGTTATAAAGTCGGGGGGCCAACCATCCCATCAATGAACATTTACTATAGTAAAGGTTATGTTGGGGAAAAAAGTGGGGGGGCCAGGCCCCCCCTGGCCCCCCCGGATACTACGTCCCTGCAAATTAAAGCTTCATATATCCCTACTAAAGCAAACTCAATCGCTGATGCAATATCTCGTTCACAGTGGGCCCGGTTCCGACACCTCGCACCAGAGGCAGATTTGTTCCCCACACTAGTCCCAAACCAGGTATGGGATATCTAGAAGAAAAGGCATCAAGGCTTTTAAATGACTCTCTATCAGCCAACACACAAAAAGCATACAACACAGCACTTGAGCAGTTTTAGTGTTTGAATATTTTATTTAATTAAGTGAATGCTACATTTTGAACATACATGTATTTACAAGGCGTTAGGGCTGGTAGGTCATTCTGCCAATTTCCTTTTTAACCTGATTTACTTTCTTTAGAAAAACTTTCTACAGAGTAATTCGAAACTTTTTTTCATGTGTTTTATATACGCAAATTATGCAAGATGTTATAATGTAAACAAGGTAAAAGAATTTAAAATCATTAAGGGATGAAGCTAATTTCAACTTATGTTATCCGATATAACATAACTTGGGGCAGTTTACGCTTTATAAACCGCGAAGCGGTTTATAAAAAAAGCGTAAACTGCCCCAAGTTTTGTTATATCGGATAATATAAGTTGAAATTAGCTTCATTCCTTATGATTTAATTCTAGTGTAGGCAATGAGTCAATATTTCCTCCGGAAAAAGACTTCAAATTGAGCATTATTTTAAAAGTAAGTCAAGCGGAGTAATACGTTTTTGACGTAACTCATTGTGACGTAGGCAAGTTATGTTATCCAAAATATTATATGTTCCTCTGAATGATTCAGCCGATGAAATTGCTTAATACAAGTGAAATTAAATTATTAATCAATAACAGTGAAATTAAACATCATTCTTATCATTTCTATAAAATTACTTACCTCCAGGAAGAAAGGAAAGATGTGAACAACAAAGATGCAAAGTAAAAAATAAATTGTCCCAATATTCCATTGTATTTTGTTTAAAGCCGATCTTAAATCGCTGTATACATATATGTACATTTGTTGTTAAGAAAATTCCTAGCACACTCTCCACTGCCAAATCAAAAGTGGTTTCGATATTATTGATATTCAAATTTCCTTTTCAATGAGCTACATGTAAGTATATCGTCTATGTGCTAGCAGCACAACATAAGGAAGACCGAACCCTATCACAGCAATATATAGTATAGACCATGATAAAAATATGCAATATCTTTATAGAATACTCGTTTTGAATAGCAAGTAGAGTTCATAAATTTCTAGTACTCACAATTTTTAAAACAATCATTTACATTTATTCCTAGCTTGTTGAGGTATTTTAATTTCTGTCAGTTTGTACATTTCATAAGTGTTCAAGTCTTTCCTTGAAAATTAACATGTATATCCCACAAAATAAACATTGTAAAAGTAGTTTATGTCTATCTAGAAACCAAATGTTCATATAGATTTGATTTTATTATGATCTATGGCAATGTTTTTATTTAGAATGAAGATGTCTCATCTAATAGTGTTTGTCCTTGACACTGGAACATATAGTATCATAACAGTGTTTTGGAAGGTATCAACCTTTGTCTGTTATAACAGTTTCAGACAATAGTATTTCAGAGCAAGCAGCCTGTGGATTTTTTAAAGTTTCTTTTCATAGTTTCACAGAGTATCAATTTCAAAGAAAGTGGATTGATGATCTGCACAAATAACGACAGTTGAGATTCGGTAAGATTTCCCAAAATATTGTCCATTTTGTTGGCCTTAAACTTTGGCTTATCTGGTTCTTTTCTTTTTTTCTGAATTGCATGTTTAGCTCACCTGAGCCCAAGGCTCAAGTGAGTTTTCATGATTAAAAGATGGGCGTATAAGGCGGGCAGAATACCTATAGCGCGACAGACAAGAAATAAAAAAAATAATAATCTCAATGATATGCAAGATTTATTTCATATTTCATCTTATATTAAAGTATACTTCATGTAAAATTTCTATAATCTACAAACATCTCACAAAAACTGAAAATATTTGCCTATGAAAAAGCATACATGTATACAGACCCAAAAGAACAAAAAAATGATCATTTCTTCATACTTTAACAAAATTTTCAATGTGAATGGGTCTTTGCTCCATTTTTGGGGGGTTTACAAAAAATGGAGGGAAGACCCACTATACCTTAAAAATAATATGATTTCTTTCGTTTAAGGAACGAATTAGACAGAAATCAATTTCTTTTTGGTGTGATAATGAATTACTTTTTCGGAATTACAAGGTTTTCATTCGAATACCTGGTGAATATCACGTGGTTCTCTGGAACCGGTCTCGTTGGCAAGGCAATATAAGATGTGAATTGTGGTTTAAATGCCAGTTAAGGACGACCCGTAGAGCGCGATAAAGTTTAAATTTTATCATGATTTATTCAATCCAACATAAACATGTATATACAAATTGATTTTCACATTTTGCATATGTTATGTAAAATGTACAAATAAAGCTGCTGCGTGTCGTTGCTATGTCAAAATGGTGTATTTGTTGTTTATTGTACTTTCATTGAAAGTAGTGAATGGATTTAGAGTAGAGCACTTTCATGACAAAACATTTGCATCTTTCTGAGAAATACTTCATGTCCATTAATTCAATGGTCATATCACAAACATGATTTCAATGCCATTACAACACATGAGCTATGTAGCATAGAGGTTAGCGCGTTAGTCTCAAAGCAGTTTGATACATCGGTATTTTATTGCTGGGTATCGAATTCGACGAATACCATGGAATATTTATATGAACTAACCCTAACCCTAACCGAAATGTATTTTTTCTCAGAATTTTTTTTCTCATAATTTCATAACTTTCAATGATGAGATGTAAATTAAAATACTCAATTTATATATCAAATGAGATTTTTCTTAATATCTGACGCTATAGGCATTCTGTCCGCCTTACATTGTATCCGCCCATCTTGTTTGTTCCTTGTCTGTCGTCGTCATTATAAACTTTTCTCGTTTTAATCTTTTCAAGAGACACTGGGACATTCCAACCAAACTTGCCACAAAGTATCCATTCTTGAAGGGCAAATGTTTGACCAAATGGAGGAGCATGCCTTCTTCCAAGGAGAGATTATTATTAATTAATGGAAAATTGATGGCATCTTTCAAAAATCTTCTTCTCAAGTACCACTGGCCAGGAATGATGAATCGCATTAATGAGGAATTATCCTCAGGTAGTGTAGATTCAAGTTTATCAAATTACGAAGCCCGGGGTAGGACGGGGCAACAATGGCCAATCAATGTTTTAGATAGATTTATAAAGAGATCTCGAAAATCTTTAAAAATATTCTTCTCAAGAACCATTGGGACAGGAAAAATGATACTCATATTCAGAGCTCCAGATAATTTTTTACCCCAAAGTGTATTTACTCCCTGATTTTCAAATCAATGCAGATTTTGATTTTCAGCAAAATGATTGAAGAGTATTTTTTATGTAGAAATGTTTTGACCTCTATTTTGAGCTTGTTATCGAAGTATGCGTTTTTTGAAGAGGAAAAAAAAACTTCAAAGGTCAGTTCCTGCAAATATTTAAATAAATTTTGTAAATACCAACGAGACAATTTGGTGAGTTTGGGAAGCATTCATTTTTGACAAGGAAGATTATACAATAGGTCAAGGTCATTGCACCATAGAGTTAGGGACGCAGATAAATTTTCCTTCATTTAAGACATCGTATCAAGAGTAAAGTGAAAGAATCTTCGTTAATATGGAAAGTTGAGAGAGATGAAAAATTGGACCCATAGTAAAAAAAAAGTTATGTCTAGTGCATAGTCTTTCTACACAGAAATTAATTTTACTCTAAATCTCCTATTCTTCCTCCTGAAATGGGGATCGTCGTCGACATTACTAGAATATTCGTAGTCACTAAAAGGCTTTTAAATCTGTACTTTGATTTGAGAAAAATCAAACACTGTGTTAACCTCGATTCGTATTATTAAGGACGTCGTACCTGTTTTCCTCAACTTGTTGTACGCAGTTAGCGGCAGTACTTTCGTGGTGTAATGCGTATCTATGATTGCTAATGCGTAATTGTACGCGCTATTTTAATTTTCAATGCGTATTTTCTAAAATTTAATGCGTATTTCTGCAAATGCGCACCTTATCTGGAGCTCTGCTCATATTAAATTATCCTCAGATAGTAATATTAAAGTTTGTTCAAATCATGAGCGCCGGGGTTAGGGTTGGGCCACAATAGCCGATCAAAGTTTTACACAGCATATGATAGATATTCCTTTTGTGTACGTCATAATTACAATCAAAGTTCAAGGTCATAATGGATTTTGTGTATGAATTTGCATGTATGTGCCTGTTATGATATGTGCTCTATTATACTTTGTCAAATACATGTATGCTGGATATTGTCAACAGTTATTTCAAATAATCTCTTTTAAGATATCCGACCCACATTAGCTTCTGATTTAATGAAATTGATTGCGTAACAGATATATAACAGCTGCATATATGTATTAAACAGCTGAATACTCAATAAATACAAACATAATCTTCATGTTTTAGTATCAAAATGTAACAGCTGAACTTGACTAAACATATTATCTTTCCGGTCTTTGAAGATTTATCTCCCTCTGATATTACTTAATTTAAATCAATTCTCAAAAGAATATCTAGTGAAATTGTAGTTTTCAATCATTTTAAAATAATGACCGTTTAAACTGTTCCGTGTCGCAGTAGACGTAATCAGAGAAAAAGACCCCTCACTGCTCAATGTCTTTGAGTATCCGTAACCTGTACGTGGACTTTATCAACAAACTAAGCTTATGAAGTAAAATATGAACCAAAAGTATTTATTAAGTTAATTTAGGCATGAATAAGTTTACAGGATACGATTAGTAGGCCTTTCAACTGCCGCTAGGGGTCGGTTTTATTAAGGAATCACAGTCTAGATTTGAGGGTATGCCAGGGCATCAACAATAGTGGGAAACATGGGATAATTTTAGCATAACGGGCTTCGCCCGTTATGCAAATTATCCCATGTTTCCCACTATTGTTGATGTCCCTGGCATACCCTCAAAACTAGACAGTGATTCCTTATATTTCCATTTTTACTTGAAATAACCATCTTAAAATAAATCGAAATACCGTCTAATTGAGTAGATTCGGAATGCACAAGGCCCCATGACGTCAAATTTTACTATTAAAAAATAGTCCCAAAAAAAACAAAACAAATTTATTGACTATTAATATTTACCGTAGTCAAATATCAACATTTATAAAATTAACAACAAAAGAATTTTAAATGATGATCAAAGTAATCTTGTTGACTTTAATTATATATGTGACCTAGATTTAGGTTGTCGGAAGCACGAACATAAATAGGCACTATGTCACTTCTCCGCCGCCATATTGAATGCAATGTTGCTGAAACGGGAGCTGGTCAGCATGGTCAGGCAACCGATTTGTATGGATGTTATAATAACAGAAGTTGAGTTGCTTAAGAAGTCGGATGGTAAAGACTAAGGGACTATGTCTGTATCATATGATGGAGTACGTGCAGATCCATGTGGCAATGTCAATTTCTCCACGTGTCTGTTACGGAAGTGGTGTTCTCGGACTCGCGAGGCCTCGGTCATAGTGGACAGCGTTGCACTAGTGATTTGCTTTCGAGCCGAAGATTGCAGTTATAAGCGTATAAGAAAGTCATTAAATTTATACAGCTGGGGATTCAAGATGACTTCGTTATAACCGTAAATTCGCAATATCCGTGTTCGTACTAAACGAGTTTTGCTGTAGCTTGGTTGTTAGATTACCATTAGTGTCTTTTTCAAGTAAAATATCCAAGTATGAAGCAGAGGTTTTGGACTCTGTGGTATCTTTTATCTCAAGCTCACCAGGATATATCGTGTCGACGTAGGAATGGAAATTATCATTATTAATTGACAATACGTCGTCGATATATCTAAATGTCGAGTTGAAGGCCACAGCAAGTGTTTTATTCTTTTCACGTAAAAGATTTTGCATAAATTCTGCTTCACATGAATACAAAAATAAGTCTGCTAATAACGGAGCGCAATTTGTGCCCATGGGAATTCCAATAGACTGTTGGAATACCTTATCTCCAAAAACCACAAAGATATTGTCAATCAGAAACTCAAGCATCTTCTTGATGTCAACTTCAGAGTACTTGTGTGTGCAATCAGAATCTGTTTTAACAAAATAATTTTTCAAATGACCAATGACGAGGTAAGTAAACTTACGAGTTCCATTTTTGTTGAAGAAGCAGCTGTCAATGATATCAAAAAGCCTGGATTTTAATTTGTCGTGGGGAATTGTTGTGTATAAAGTTGAAAAGTCGTAAGTTTTTATGCTGTTGATTTTTGTAAAGTCTTGTGATTTCAAATTGTCCAAAAGTTCTTTAGAATTTTTAAGTATCCACATCTGATTTACACCACTTCTTGAATATATAGTTGTACAGTAGTCCTGAAGTTTTTCCTTCACTACTGTCAATATTTTAGTGAGAAGTAACGAAAGAGGCTTGGTTGAACATTTACTGGAACCTGCAATGTATCTTTGTTTGTAAGGATTCTTATGAAGTTTCGGAATCCAATATATATAAGGTAGTTCAAATTCATTTTGGCTCTGTGGAATATTAAAAGTATTCAAAGCTGACAGGTGATTTTGAAGAATTTCCTCCTTAGAAAGAGAAGTATATGTATAAGTAGGATTACCACTTGTAGAATTAAATCCAAGTTCTTCTAGAATGCAATTTATATAATGAGCCTTACAAACGAAGACAATGTTGTTACCTGCTTTGTCGGCAGGAACCAGTACGTACTGATCGTGTAATCTATCTAATTCTTTTTTTCACTTCTGGTTTATTGAACACAGAAGGATAGATGGTTTTCATTTTGCCCCTCAGTCTTTTAATATGTGACTTTAACATGGATCTGATACATTTAATCCATTCTGACAAGGTGTCAATGTCTTCTTTTTCATATCTAGCCCATCGTCTGGCGTAATTTTCAACAGAATCCATAATATTTATGAAATTCCGACGCCAGTTGAAGGATCGGGGTTCCCTATATTTAGGACCTTTTAAAATAAGTGATCTAAGGTCCTCATTACGAACTATTTTTACGTCACCTGTAATAACGTGTCCAGCAGGAGTATAGTTATAGGGCGAAAAAGAACATGAACACGAAAGGGGATTATTTTTCAGATAGTCGATATCCAGGTCATGTAAAGTGTTTTTGTACTTGAAAAGTTTGGGTTTTTATTAAGTACTGGTACTAAATAATTAATACTATAATCACGTGCAAGCATACAATGTCAAAAAAACCGAAAATATTTTTCAACTTTGTTTTCATCCTTGAATCAAGGCATATTCCAATGTTACATGGTTGTAAATTATTCAATTCGATAAATTCGAGTTTACAAATAAATAAAATGCATTAACGTAGAAATCTGTATGCCATATTTTAAGAATTTATCTTCTTAATTTTGCAAACTTAATTCTTATTTGAGAAAAGTCCTTTCACCGGACGTTTGGGCTTTTATTAAGTACTGGTACTAAATAATTAATACTATAATCACGTGCAAGCATACAATGTCAAAAAACCGAAAATATTTTTCAACTTTGTTTTCATTTATTCTCATCAAGGAATACAAAATTTGCAACTTGAACTGAAATGAATTATTCCTGGAATATTGGAATAGGTCTTGTTTTCCTCAGACAAATACTTTCAATTCTTTTCTTTGACATGTGGTGATCTGTTTGGCTCAATATTATCTGCAGTATCCCGGTGGTGAACCATTACCTTGTCTGTATAGGTGAGGTTGTCCAGAAAGTTGTCCTGAATATTGTCCGAAGGATCGTTGTTCGTGGTTAATTCTTATTTGTTGCTGTCCATAATTAATTATAACTGTCGAAGCAGGCAATTTGTGTTTTCGGCGACCTTAAAAATGTTAAAGAAATTGTTTAATGCTTATTCAGTATATGAATTTTGTGACACATTCAGGTTTGGCTATTTAACTCGACGAGACCGTAGGAGGCCTAATCTAAAAGTAATGTTTCTACCCCAATAACATTTTTAGTAAAGAAATATCAACAAATGTTTCAATTTTATTCAATTATCTTGTTTGACGTTTGTCTAAAAGAGCATACGGAAACATGTATTTAAATAAAGATATAAACACAGGTGTTTCTTAATTTTTTTACAGACCAGGAAATTCACATTACTTTTTTGGAACTAATACTCGTTTTCAGATAATCTGAAAATAGATTATTTCCCCAATCCTATTTTAATCTCCATGGATTACTTTTATATAATTATATAATATTTGACTGACAATTTGACTAAATCATAGCTATCAGCTTAATGTCATTCTGCTTTATATGTATTAATGTTCTTGAATTGAACCATTTTGGAAGTACGTCATAACCCAAGATGACAGCTGTCTCTGTGGCAACGCACTTTGAATAAAAATTTCAAAGTGCGTTAAATTTGGACAAAATCAACGCACTTTAAAAGAAATTTCAAAGTGAGTTAAATTTAGGACACACTCAACGCATTTTTTTCAAAGTATGTTAAGAGTGTACGTAACATTTCGTACCACGGGGACATTTGACTCACTTTGAAAATAAAATTGTATAAAACAAAAAAATCTAGCCTTAGACTTTAGCACTTGAGAGAATTAATTTGAAATATTTATATCTTTAAAATTTACATGTACTCATTTTACCTCATTGAGAACAATTAATAAGTGTCACTCGTTTTTCTAATATATACTGTAAACGTGGAAAACATAACGGTGTTTTTAATTTCACTATGTTCACGATTTAAGAATTTTCCGCGAACTTTAAACCATCGTGATTATTATTTCACGTCATTTCTACCTAAAAACAGTCATGGTACATAAATATATACAAACGATTCTCCGTGAAATTAAAACCACCGTGAAAAGTAACTTTCTAACAAATCGTGAAAATTTAGACACGTGAAATTAAAGACGTCTACAGTATTGTACATAGCCGTCGGTAGCAAATGGAAAGTGGACCCCCCCCCCCCCCCCCCCTAGGTTAGCCCAATATTCAATGCCTACATAATGTATACCTTTGCAAAACATTTGTGTGCCTAAGTCCTTCCGGTGCTCATGTAACACCCAAATATATGTATTTGTATGACTGCTTTGACGTTGAAAACTTTCAATAATTTTTAGTTTACATAAAATGTATTCAAAGTGGAAAAAAGTTATACCAGTTAAACATTTAAGAGAGAAAAAAATTTCAAAGAATATAAAAAAAAATCGCTCACTTTCACATCCTGAAGAGACCTCATCACCGAAGAGTTATCAAACAGGTTCAATTATTTATCATACATGTACCCAATATTTGCTCGAAAATTGACCAATTTTCAATATGCGTTGATTTGGCGTACAGCGGGGGCATGAATAGTTTACACTGGATGTATCTTTGGAAAAAAAAACGTGCCGCTATGCAAAACAGCAAACTCAACTGGAATTATTAAGGAATATTAACATTTCCAATGTCTTGTCCGAGATAAAATTACAAATTGCAAATGTAATATATTTCCCCCATCAATGTATTGGCGCAGTTTAAAAAAAAAACACGTGCAGGGCTGAACAAAAAGCTAGACAAAAGCTGGGCTTGGAGCACGTGCGTTTGCAGAATCAAATTATCATGCAACCCAATCGATTGATCTCATCATGAAATCGAAAAATAAGACAGTTATTCCTAAAATAAGTGTCTTAGTTTTTGATTTCATGATGTGATCAATCGATTGGCTTGCGTGATAATTTGTATAAACGCTGCAGCCGTTTATGCATAAGATTATCACGCAAGGGAATCGATCGATTATTATCATGAGATTAGAAAATATGACAGTTATCCTTATATTTACATGCCCTTGATTCCGCTAATGCACCTGTTACAAGCCTTGCTTTTGTCTCTTTTTGTCCCACCCCGCACGTGACTTTTTAACCGCACCTATTTAAGAACAATGTGCATTTATGTAGAAATACAGTATACATGACTGTATTTTAAAAGTATTAGTAGTTTTATCTCGAAAAATACACATGATACATTAATGCAAATCGTGATCGGGCCATTAAACTTCATATTTCCTGGTCATCGGCAAGCTTTTCATCATAATCTACCTCTTTGGATACCTAGTGTTTTTTCCCGCAATATAGTTATCGTTCGTTAAAAGAAAACTCCTCAGAGTAGTCAACGTAACAATAGACTGGTTTACGTAACAAAATTGTTGATGAGAAATGTGTCAAAAAGTTTGAGGGACTTTTACGTTAAAATTGAAAGTAAATTTGAGAGAAGTGCTGAATTTGAAAGTTTATTTTTGCTTGTTTCGGTATAATACCGTAAAATATGCAATGTATTAATGTTCGGGAAACCACTGTATATAAAGTGCTAATCGAAAATCTACTTGATTTGGATCACTAGCTATATTTGTTTGGGTCATTCGAAGTTTCTGTCTGCACATTTAGACAAAAAATGTGCTTTTATATACGTTTTCTTACTGATAATGAAATTACTTCAACCAATATGAGACTTCTTGTTATATTTAAAGATTATCATTTTTTTGTTTCATCTACCCCACCATAAACATCGATAGCACGCGTTTTTCACGCATCTAATGGTCATTTTTCGACTAATCATCCTCTGGAATGGACTGTTGATATTATTTCAAAAAACATTTATTGAAATGTTTAATATGAATCTTTATCAAACGTAAGCTATCAAATTCGACCCCAAGGTCTTCTTTATAACCTGGCAATTACATCAAATATGCACCTACCCAACTTTTCCAGAGCTATATTATGTTTGCGTAGAAAATATCCAGAAAGCTATCTTTGTTGTCATGACAGCTATACTTTTTTCGAGTATACATATAGCATTTAGGCCTAGTGCAATAAGTACTGTACAATATTTTCTTCCCCAGACTCCTCTTACATTTCAACAATGGCCCAGTCCGTAGGAGGTCCATGTGTCATATGCTCATCTTAAGCATTTTATGCTCAATCGGTGAGTGTGATACATATGCATTTATATAAATTATAGAAAAAGTAGTGTGGCCTCTTGGTAAGTTACTTAGGAGAGTACAAACACACAGGCACCTGACGTTACTTATTTTTCTTTTAATAAAATAAATTATAGGGGTCCCTATTTATAACATTTTGAACCTTTCGTGACAGTATCTTTTTAAATTTCTAATGGAACTGTAATGACGTTTTTATGTCTTTTCTTTGTTTAGTTCCATTTTTTCATTCCGGAATAAAGGATTGCTCAAGCATAAATTTCTTCGGGAAATGGGAGGGGGTTACATTGTTGTCCATAACACTAAAAGATCTCAACACAAAAATCCTATTTTATGGTTGGGGATGGAGTCGGCTTAATTGGTGGACAAGCTACATTCTTCCATATATATTCTCATTTTACCTATCAACTTATGACAGTCATTCATCCAAAAAAAAAAAAAAAAAAAAACATACCAAATTAAGAATTTTCATTTTGTTCACCAATTTACATGTAATATTGTAAAATTTTAAAGATCGATTTCAACTCTTAGACTTTACATATACACATGGTTTTGTAAATATTTAGTAGTATATATATGCATTCAAAGTTTTGATTTGATAATTTAATGATTAATTAAAACGCATTCAACTTCAAATCTTGATGCCGCTTCGTTCATTTACTAATTTCAATTCAGCCAAATAAGCGTTAAGAAGAGATTGCATGAAATATTTTTAAAATTTTTATGTAATAAAAAGAAAACAAATGGTTACCACATTTTTCAAAGAAATACATGGATCTTTTTACATAGAAATCATAACATATCCCTGAAAATCAGTGAACTTCCGTAACTACAGACACGTGCCATAAGTATTCGGTCAACATGGCGATTTGTTTACGCTTGAAAACGAAAGTACATACTTTGAGTCTCTTGTTTTTGTATATACACGTCATCGATTACGAAGTATTATAAATTTAGATGTTTAGTCACATGATGTATCACATGATAATTTGTTGTCGTCTGTAGTTAGCGAAAGCTGTCAGAATTACGAATTTGAAAATATGGGTCGAAAAGGGCAGGAGCTTGGGACGGAGGCGAAATATATCATTATAGATTTGATACAGAGTGGTCTTTCCCGTCACAAGGTCAGTGAGATGTTGAAAATTCCAAAGTCAACAGTTATTGAGGTCGCACGAAAGTTTTTTGCCACAGGGTCAGTGGAAAACAAATCAAGAAGTGGGCGGCCGGCAAAAATGAAAGAAAGGGATTACCTTGGTTTAGAAAGGCTTGTGAAAACGCATCGTCGGGAGTCTTTAATTGATATAACATCAAAATTTAATGAAGGCAGGACTGAAAGTGAAACTGTAAGTAAGCGGACTATTCAGCGTCATTTGCATAATCATGAATATAGAAGATGTGTAAGTAAACAGAAACTTGTTGTGAAGGAGGTTAACCGACGAAAAAGACTGGCATGGTGCAGAGAGAAAAGGCGGTGGACAGTTCAGAATAACTGGAATAAAGTGATATTCTCTGACGAGAGTAAGATAATGATTGGACATGACCAGCGGGTTCATATTTGGCGCAAGAGGAACGAAGGTTGGCGACCCGATCTTGTGCAACCCCGGACATCGCAACCCAGGTATGAAGTAATGATATGGGGGTGTATCTCTTGGAATGGTGTTGGGACAATTACGCCGGTAAATGGTAACATAAATGCACAAAAATATCAGGACATTCTGGAAGAGAACCTGTGGCCAGTGATTGCTCGACATTTTCCTAGGGGTGGATATTTCTTCCAGGACGACAATGCCCCCGTTCACCGAGCAAGGTCTACTCAAGAATACATTGTCCAGAATGGAATAAACTGCTTAAGTTGGCCTGCCCAGTCGCCAGATATCAACATTATTGAAAACCTTTGGCTATTGATAAAAAGAAAGCTTCAGACATGCATTTCTTTCATTAAATCTAAAGACGATCTCGTGGAGGAAATTCGGGGCATTTGGACAAGCATCCGACCTAACTATGTTCAAAACCTATACAAGTCCATACCAAAGAGAATTTTGAATGTAATCAGGCTCAAGGGACATCTTACGAAGTATTAACAAGTAAGTTTAACATAATTTATATTTTTTATTACTTTATTTCATTACAGCGAATGTTTGAAATTTGACACTTTCGTTTTCAAGCGTAAACAAACCGCCATGTTGACCGAATACTTATGGCACGTGTCTGTATATTCTTTTATCGTAGACTGACTGTTAAGAGTTTGCGTTTCTTGGGAAGGAGGGAGGGGGGGGGAGTTATTTTGATATAATTACTTTAATATTCTTAAATTTTAGTGAATTTGAAAAAAATTATCAGGTCTTGATCCCCTAACCTTTATCCGCTTTTCTGGATCTGTCTGTGGGAATATAATGCCATATTTTAATTAAACTTTTATATTCATAGATTCTGTTTCAGATTCTTAGTTTTAAGTTCTGATGTCTGATGATAGTGTGAAAATAGGTGAAGTATTACAAAAGTTGCATTATAATCTCTTTATCATAAATTTATAAAAGAGAGAAAAAAAGTGTACAAGGCGAGGACAATCACACGCTCTATGACGGAAAAGTTTTATTTTCTTAAATTATGTTGTCGGTAATGTCATCTTCAACATATTAGATTCATATATTGTTCTGAAAGGCATATTGATTGAAAATTGTTTTTAGACTTATTTAGTCGAAAATGGGTACGTTTATATTAAATGATTCTAGCTATAAAGATTTATTTTTGAATATGAACGGACCAGGTTTCTATTTGGAGTATTGTGTTTAAATTACGGAAAAGTAAATGCACTGTGTTTTTTTAATGGCGTCTGAACCCATTCTATCTAAAAGTTGAATATTTCTGAAATGAAAAAAAAAGTTAGGATAATGAGCATTGATTTATGTCGAAAAATCCACAAACAATACAAACATGTGGGCAGGGCATAAATACGCCCCCCCCCCCCGAATACCAGAGATCCAGAGATTGGAACGGGTGCCTAGAGGAGTAACCATCCCTTGTTGATCGGTCACACACGCTGTGAGTCCTATGTATTGATCAAGTGAACGGAACATTTCGTAATCAAATTTAGTATAAAAACAAAGGTCTAACAGTTGAGTGAGAGAAGTAAGCCAAAAAAAAAACGACCCAAGATAAATTTAATGATAGGTTGAAAAACCTTATTTGTCTCAACAAATTCGTTTCTTTTTAGGCAAACTGACACACAAACAACAAGAAGACACCGTAGCATATTGTGGTTAACGCATTCAATCTTACGCCTATCATGAGCTTTGGAAAAAATTCGATTAGTTTGTGAAGCCCTTTTTCCGTTTTACATACCTTTAAAACATAAGTAAAAATATATCACGTGTCAATAAGTTATTTAATGACATAAACTTGAGACAGTGTCTTTGGATTATACTCCCCCTATATACGCCTTCATTCTTTAAGAAGTATTCTACTCAAATCAAACATAGCATTTCTGTATCAATCGTGACAAAACGCAAATCAAGTATCGCACAAACACCAGCAATGATAGCACATTTCAAAATTCTATATTTATTTATTTCTGTTTGACTTCTTTCGACTGATCAATGTTTCTCTTGTGATAATAAATGCCAATACCTTTTTCAAAACTGTTTAAATCGCGATAATTTTATCAAAAAACAATAAATCTTAATTTCATGCAAATCACAAAAAGGATCCGAAAAAAGTATAGCCATCGCAAAAATATGTTGCAAACATAGTATAGCATTCACTCAAAACAAGAATAGCCCAATTTCTCTAAAAAGCGTAATTTATAGAAATCAGATGATGTTTCGTGGGTGAATTGAGGCGAAAACTAAGATACAATAACTTTTACAACAGAATATAGTTTGAAAAATTTAAGAACAATTGAAATAATTCAAAATGAGCGAAAATCAAATTTTAACTTAGTAAATGAGAATGGTATCGAATTTCTAACTTGTTTCAACTTAAAAATTTTCTCAAATAAATTTACGTTGATTCTATAAAGGTTTAATAAGTTTTCTAATTTCTTAAAGTTACTTTTACCCATCTTTTGCCTGCAGCATTTTCTTTTTTACCCATAATGCATCAGAGTACCCAAAGCAATATAGCAAGTGATCCAAATCAAGAAGATTTTCGATTAGCACTTTGTATACAGTGGAAACATGATAAAATGAAAGTAATAAAATTAAATACAACCAAAAATCTAGAGAATTTTAGTGTTTAATATCTTGACCTTTTATTGAACGCTAACTTTGTATTACGTATACAGTAGTATAGGGTTCAATATTATCAGAAAGTGTTTTATGTATATACAAAAGTCGAAGCGTTTGTACGATATTCGAAGCAACTGTTGATCATCTAAAACAACTCCAATATTTAATGTGAGCATGGAGCAGTGTCTTTAGAATATAATCTTTCAATTTCGGTCTCATAAAGTTATAAAGAAGTTCTACAATTTTTCCGGTGACGACTAGACTGTTATGCTTTGGGGCTCTTTCACTTGATTGTAGAACGGGCGTGACGGAGACATCGTCACGTGTTGAAAACTGCCTTCCATAAAAGGTAGTGGTCTCGACCTGTTATAGCAACATTAACATCGGTTGGTTATTTTAGGTGGTTTAACATATAAAACTGATACATACCCAGGCGCGGATCCAGAATTTTTTTCCAGGGGGGGTCCACCTCAGTCAAAAAAAAAATTCCAATCCCAGAGATTTCTTGACAAGCAAAAAAAAAAAAAAAAAAAAAAAAAAAATCGAGCAAACGTCAAAAACCTATTTACTAAGGTTAAATAATACTGTCTGCAGCTGTTAAACTTATTGTAAAATACATGTATACAGCAGACTATTATACATGTACATGTACGTACAGTTACAAAAATACGGCAGACTTACGGTAACATATATAGCAGACGATTATACTTACGGTAACATACACAACAGACGATGCAGCTAATAATTAAAACAACTCCACCAACAAGGGACCCAGCAACTGTTCTGTCAGTATAAGATAAAACAATACTAGTAAAAATTACTGTGATAAAAAAATACTTTTATTGAATACCTTTAACACGATGTTTTGGAGGTCCGTGTTCGTTCCTATTTCATAATGTTTAATGGACTTTTTAGCTCGAATACTGTTCGTTTTCTCCACATACATGTTTTTCACGTTAAGGTTCGATAATGATTGAAATGTATGAATCTAAGTATATAAAGATAAAACCTTGCAAGTTCCTGCATTTGATCAACCAACTCGTGCCAATGTTCACCAAATGAATATAAGTTCAATAATCCTATAATACTCCATTAAAAATATTAGAATTTTATGTTTCATTAAAAAGGGTGTTATGAAAATCATTACATATTTTCCTTTTAATTTCATAAAGAAATACGATGAGAAGATATAAACAATTTGTAAAATTCCATGTTCACAGAGTCCATTCTTCTACTGATAAGGATTTAACTGTATATTGGCTTATATACGCATTTCTATTGCTCTAGCTGAAAAATTTCAATGTAAGGGTGATGGAGAGTTGCTGAAGCGAAATTTCACTACATTATGCCTCAACATGGTCTTACTATCATATGCATTAAGGACAGTCCTTGTACCGTAAGTCCAAGGATGGCTACACTGCTCTTAGAGAAAATTCGACCTAATCATCTGAAAAACGGGCATTTAAAAATGCCAAAGAATAATTCCTTCGCTCAGATCTAGATACTAATGAACCTATTGTATCGTAGAAATTAAGCTGTGCGTGTTGTTTAGCGCAGCCTTGAACGTTTTACTTGAATGGCTGGAAAGGGGGGGGGGGTTAACAGTCATAATTTACTTAGTAAAGTAAACAGATAAACATTTAATACTTTAATAAAATCTCGTGTTCTGTAAAGTGAGTTTAGCCTTACTTTATTCGCTTTTGAATAACAGAAGAAAAAAATTAAACATCTGTATATGACTGCTTGTTGCATTTCTTTTGCGTGTCAGTAAGGAATGTTCATTTAATTTATCTTTGCCTTTAAAATGATTAAATACCTAAGTTGATTACAAATTGAGTAATTTAATATATATTTTTATTCATTTAAATTCAAATCTAAGGTCAGATCATTTCAACTGCAGAAAAATACCATAGAGTGAGAACTCTTTAGTGTGTAGTGTAAAGAAAATTCGATCCCATACCCGATACTGATACAGTTGATGGTTCCAGTGCAGATTGTTCCCAGCGGACAGCAGTAAATAGTCCCCTTACAGCAATGATAGGTAGAATCTTCACAATGGCTATCTGAGTAGCATGCTTTATAACATGAAATACAAATATCACATTCATTATTGACAGTGTGTAACTTTTCAGTGGGCGTGTATGGAACGCCGGGGCTGTCTTATATGACTATTAAATATTATATGCAGTGCTTCCTTTATTATATGCGGTACTATTTTTATTATATGAAGTAGTTTTAACATTATATTGTGTACAACCTTCATTATATGCAGTACTTCTCTCATTATATGATGTAGATATGTCATTATATTATGTACATCTATCATTATATGAAGTGCTTTTAACATTTTATGCGGTAGTTCAAACATTATATGCGGTAGTTCTAACATTATATGCAGTAAACACAACAATATATTATGTACTTCTTACATTATATACAGTACATTCATCATTATGTGTAGTATTTCTGTTATTATGATGATGCTGATCATTAAATATTATGTCCGGTCCAGTAAGCATTCCGTGCGGTAGATTTTGCATTTCGTTATGATGTAGACACAGTATTATATGCGGTGCTTTCTTCTTTATGATGATGATCTTTCGGAAGCTGCCCTTCGGAACCCCCTCTGTTATATTTAGAAAGTTTTACTTTTTTCGTTCTTAGATATGGACATTCTTCATGGTTTTAGGTTATATATATATTTTTTCATTTAGTTTGACAAAAACTACATGTGGCGCAAGTAAACAAATATAATAATATAGTCACATGGATTTTCTTATATTAATTAAATGCAACACGTATGAAGTTACAAATATTTCTTGTATATTTAACATCTGCTGAATTAAGAATTTCATAAGTTATACATGTTTTTTTTTTAAATGTACAAATTTCACTATTTAGTTCAGGCGCGGATCCAGGTTTTTTTTTTAGGGGTGGGGGGGGGGGGAGGAGGGGGTTTCACTCAAGTCCAAAAAAATAAAATCCACCCCCACCCCCCGAAAAAAAACGTACAATCGCCTAAATTTTAAATACCTATTACTGGAGGGGGGTCAATGACTTCTAGTTTTTCAAATCTCTGACCAATTTAGCACAAATTCGCGGTTACCAGGGGGCGGGGGTCTGCGTTTTCCGAGGGGGGTCCAAGGTTTCCTTTTTCTTGCTTTAGTATTTGCAGTCCAGGGGGGTGTTCTGACCCCACCCCCTCTAGATCAGCGCATGATTAGTTGTTCATAAAGAGGGCACACACAAATAAAAAATTATGTTCATTTTCAACAACAGTTGATACAATATCTTTCATCTCTTGGGTAACATAATCTGCCAACCTCTATCGTTATTTTGTGGACACTTATTTTCAATCCAGTTAAAAAAGAACAAAGATTTTTGGAATTGGAATAAATAAAGTATGGTTGAATTTCAAGCTTGTTTAGATTTCGTTGACTTATTAACTAGATTTATCCCTACATTATTTATAGGAATTTCGAAGTCATGTCAATACTTCAGTAGTTTACAATGATAGAGAGAGAGAGATGAGCTTATTATTGAAATATTTTCATCATTCCATTTATTAATAATTATTGTTAAACTATGGCATATAAAAAATGTCTGATATTCACTGTCTTTAACTGTACTATATAAATGATATGTATCAGGAAAAGACATGCGATTATCAGAGCAGACATTACGCGCGCGTAGTAACACCCTCCCCCTTTTCCTAAACATAACTTTTACTATTGAAAATTCTCAATGTTTTTGACTTGTCCACTTTCTTCAGGTAACTCGAGTTATTTTTTTTCTCCGGCTGACCCCCATCCTCCTTTTCAAAAACAATGCTACGTCACTGTATTGAGTCGTCGTGGGTTGTACTTCAAGAATTTACTTTTAAACAGATATGCGGTAGAAACCCTTGTGCCTATTAAAATGAGAGATAAAGGGTAATTTACATTGTGATAAATTAGCACATCCCACCCCTAAATACAAGTAAATAAATAATGTAATGTTTTCTATAACGCGCTGTTAAAGACCTGCGTACTCGAAGACATCAGTTCTTTTTTCATTACCCATTTTGAAATTGATTGTCCTACATATGAAATGAATCTTTTTGAATGTCATATTGTTCACAAGAAAGATAGAAAAAAAGTCTCAATTTTTTTTTCCACTCTTAAAATATTTGTATCACCCCCCGTTCTCTCTCTCTCTTTTTACTTCATACAATAAAATAGAAGGCATTATATTTTTCTACATTACCCTACTTCATATCTTTTAAAAACAATTTAATCAGTTCATGTAGCATAATTTATTATTCACTGCTTTTATCAGAGACATAAATAATACGCACATGTATTTTTATTGTACTGAATTCAACAGTTGATAGAAAGAAGAACCTTGAACAGAGAGTTCCGAAGGGTAGCTTCCGAAAGATCATCATCATAAAGAAGAAAGCACCGCATATAATACTGTGTCTACATCATAACGAAATGCAAAATCTACCGCACGGAATGCTAACTGGACCGGACATATTATTTAATGATCAGCATCATCATAATAACAGAAATACTACACATAATGATGAATGTACTGTATATAATGTAAGAAGTACATAATATATTGTTGTGTTTACTGCATATAATGTTAGAACTCCCGCATATAATGTTTGAACTACCGCATAAAATGTTAAAAGCACTTCATATAATGATAGATGTACATAATATAATGACATATCATATAATGAGAGAAGTACTGCATATAATGGAAGTTGTACACGATATAATGTAAAAACTACTTCATATAATTAAAATAGTACCGCATATAATGAAGGAAGCACTGCATATAATATTTAATCCTCATATAAGACAGTCCCGGCGTTCCATAGGCGTGGGTTTACAATAACATTATAACTATAAAAAAACATTTTTAGAAAAACAGCTATCCTATGATGAAAAAGAACAAGAGGTCCAAGAGTCACAGCGCTCACCTGAGTGCACCCGGCTAGGAAAAAACAAATATCAGATCAGAAATAAATTATTTAAAGTTTACTGAGGTTGAAGGGGGGAGGGCTAAAATTTTAACCTCCCAGGGGGTCATGATTTGAACAAACTAGAATCTACACAACCTGAGGATGATTCCATATAAAATTATATATCACTAATCATGGCTTTGAAGTACTTGAAAAGAAGATTTTTAAAGATTTCCTTATATTTCTAATGGAAAAAATATTGATCGACAAATTTTGGCCCACCCTACCCCGGGGGTCATGATTTGAACAAACTTGAATCTACAATACTTGAGGATGATTCCACATTGGTTTCATCTTTCCTAGCCCAGTAGTTCTTGAGGAGAAGATTTTTTCCATACATTCCTTTGTAAAAATTTGATCGGTCATTTTGCCCCCCCCCCCTAACCCCCCCCCCGCCCCCGGGGGTCATAATTTGAACAAATTTGAATCTACGATACCTGAAGATATTTCCACATGAGTTTCATCTTTCCTGGCCTAGTGGTTCTTAAGAAGAAAATTTTAATTTTTTTTCTATATCTTCCAATGTAAAACTTTGATCGGCCATTGTGGTCCCACCCTACTCCCATGGGTCATGATTTGAACAAACTTGAATCTACACTACCTGAGGATGATTTCACATGAGTTTCATTTTTCCCGGCTCAGTGGTTTTTGAGAAGAAGATTTTAAAAATGCCATTAATTTTTCTCTAATTCAAAATTTTTTCCCTTGGAAAAGGTGTGGCCCTTTTTTGAAAAAAAACTTGAATCCCCTTCACCCAAGGATACTTCTTTGAAAAAACTTGAATTCCCTTCACCCAAGGCTACTTTGTGCCAAGTTTGCTTAAAATTGGCCCTGTTGTTCTTGAGAGGAAGATGAAAATGTGAAAAGTTTACAACAACAACAACTACTACGACGACGACAACGACAGACAACGGACAAATTTTGATCGGAAAAGCTCACTTGAGCCTTCGGCTCAGGTGAGCTAAAAATATATACATGTACAAAAATAATTGTATCTTTTTAATACTGAGTTTTGATTTTTCATATTTATTATTTTTTGAGAAAAAAATCCTCTGTAAAAAGTATTTTGTACGGTCAGAAGTCAATTATATCAAAGATTTATTTCTGAACTATACAGTTTTCAAAGTTACATATTTAGTTCAATCAAAATAAGTAGCCTAAGGTCTTTGTACTTCGCTTCTACTTGTAAATTTTATGTAGCAATGGTAATGTAACATAAACTTTGTTTACTTTTTGTGATCAATTATCAGGTTAAAACCAGGGTATTTTTCTCAAAACTTGGAATTATTATTGATGGTGAGTATTAGAATTACATACCTATTCAGTAAAAGAGAGACACTATAGTACAAAAGAATAAACTTAAGAAAAAATCATGTAATATTTTGGGGAATACTAACCGGTATTGCATTTCTTTAAAATACTGTTTACAAACTTGAACATTCATGTAAAAGCGTCTTTGGTGCAATCTTTGAACTCTTATATTTATGATATTTTTATTAGTGCAGAAAGGTCAAATAATTGATTATGCGAAGCAATTTGAAACTTTTTCTTAGTCACAATTTTAAAGTGTATTTTTTAAAACAAACTTAGAGTTCATTTTGTTTCATGCTTTAATTGGATAAAAATATTTGAGGGAAAACGTCAAAAATTGAATTTTTAATTAAGACACAAATTTCAGTGCAAGAAGGTCATATTTAATGTACTGTAGCGCCAAAAGAAGCGTATTGACCCCCACTTTTTGATTTGAATTTTAATTAAGCTTTGTATGTACAAACTAAAAATATACTTGGCAAAAAAAGTTTAAGACTTTAAACATCAGGATCGAACGTCGTTAAGGTAATAACAAGTTCTTACTGAACCACAAGAAAATAAAACAAACATTACCCATCCCTTCCTGTGGTGTAGTGGTGAAAAGTTTAGATGTTCTTTCAGAAGATGTAGTAGAAGATGTGGCGGTGAAGATAGTGGTCGTTGTTTTTACTGCCAGAAAAAGAAAAGATGATTAGCTTTAAATTCACAAGCTATAATCACCCTTTCGAGCTCAAAATTAAAAAATAATAAAATTTAAAATCATATTCAAGAACGAAAAGAACGAAAAGAGAATACACTGGGAAAATAAATTTTATTACAATAACATTTACTTTGTTCATTACAGATATGGGATGTCCAATTGTTTGTGTGATTGGGATCAATTTCATTCAACGGGTTGTGTATTGTCTGTCCAAGGGTAGAAAACAAAACGAATTGGATGAAATAATACTAGATCACCAAGATATATGTAACACAAAAGAAAGTTCAAAAAATAAAAGATTACCCTTTCTTTCAAACACTTACCAATGTGTAACTTTACGCTATTAGATGCGTTAAAGAATTTCCCATTGAATCCATTGAATGCAGTACAAGTGTAAATCCCTGTATAACTTTCCTGAAGATTGGTCAGAGTTAGTGTCCCATTGCTGGATGATAACTCTCTAGCATTGTCACTGGGGCTTGACTTGAATGTCCATAGATACCTGTTAACAATCGTATTTGAGTGGATCCCAGGTGTTGGATTACCTTCAGCTTCACAGATCAAGGTCACAGAGGAGCCAATAAAATACTGGGAGTCAGCACCAGGGTCCGGTACCTTCCTTATTATGGGAACATTGACTTTAACTGTAAATATATTCAGAAACACGCTCCTTGAAATGGTAATCATAGCACCAGAGAATAAAAATTCATATTCATTCAATACTTAAAAGTGGCATTTAAAATCAATTGGTTTAACACACTGCATATCCAACAAGACAATGAAAGCTACATGTGACTTGTCATGATTTCAATTGTTTTACATATTTTACATACTTACAATACACATTAACCCTCTTAGATTCTTGGAAAGGCTTGTCTCGGTCTGGCATTGTTAAAAGTTCATTTTCCACGAAACATCTCCACACCGACTGGTCATCATCCTTCGTCATCCTGTATGTTACCGTGCTGGTTACGTTGTAGACACACACACCTTCCTGAATTGGTGGGGTGCTAGAAGACACCCCTGTCATTTCCTGTGGAGCTATTATACCATTCCTGTAACGCCACCATCTTATTTGTCCTGGAGGTTTTCCAACATTGGCTGTACAGGACAAAGTCACTTCCATGTTCTCTTCTATATTGTCTGGTACTGGAAATGGAATGTCATAAGGCTGCTCAGCAGGTGCTGTAAATATATTAATCCAAAGATTTACGGATATGGTATTAAACATTTAATCTATTTGCATTATGTATGGTGTCCCGATAGGGCCATTGCAAAAGTGTATTAGCGCTTTAGAAACAACGGGCAAGTGCGTTAATGACAACGTTTTCTCGCATAATCACCAGTGTTAGATTGACTTGTCCGGTGTGAGACAGCAGTGTGAGATTTTTCTGTCTCACAATGTGTATATAACTACGCCGCGAACGATAACGTAAACATTTCGTCTATATATAAAAAAAAAATTGTAACAATGTTAACAAACACCACATATGCTTAGAAAGTCATTTAACTTATTTAAATTAACTTATTTTCATTCAAAATATTGGTGTATTTTCACTTTTTAAATGGCACTATTTTTAGAATGCGGGAAGATTCTTCTAAAATGAATCTGTGCTCTATCGGATAGATAAGTTTTTATTCCCAGTTTTTATCTTTCTAATTTATCTATATGAACAGAAATTCAATTTTATTAGTTTACACTACGTGTGAACCATTTTCAGGTACGCTTTTTTTTCCGAAAGTGTATTCAGATTCTTAATTAGATTTAAAAATTAAAAGATTATATTTTTAGTTTTATGGTGACATCGTTGAGAGGTTTTTGAACAAAATACTGTAAACCAACTTTTATTCGCGAGAAATTTTTGCAAGGTTCGTAAGAGCCTCGTCATCGCGAATAATTCTCGCCGCGAACGAGTCCTTTAGGTGTCTTTTTCTATTAAAAACAGCTCCAAAAACGGCTTGATCGCGAAGATTAATCGTCGCGAACTAGTTTACTCCTGGTAAATCGCGAAATAAAGTCGTCGTGAATAAAAGTTGGTTTACAGTAATGCGATAAAAATAAAAATTCATTACATACTCGGGTGGGAATAGTGAAATTTCTCCTTGGAGCCAAGATTCGTGGTCTAGGACTCGGAAAAGCCTCGTCCTAGACTGTAAATCTTAGCCCCTCGGTGGAATTTCACTATCCCACACTCGTAGTAATGAATGTTTCATTTAGTCATTAATACGATTGCATGTTGTTTCTTACTTGGCCTAGCTTGTTGTCATTAACGTGCTAGCATGTTGTCATGGCTTTATCGTGCTAGTGCGCCGTCACGGACACGTTTGCATGTTGTTTCTAACGCGCTAATTCACTTTTTTAAAGGCCAAATCGCTGTATAAACGCGCTAGCGCGTTGTCATTATCGCGTTTACTTGTTTATAACGCGCTAATAAACTTTTGCAATGGCCCTATTGTTTGTATAAACGCGCTAGCGTGTTGTCATTATCGCGTTTGCCTGTTGTTTCCAACGCGCTAATACACTTTTACAATGGAACTATTTGGACACCATATTCAAAAATTTACTGAATACATTGAACTCTTTTCTGTGGTACCTTTTGAACATCAATAAATTATTAATGAATAACAGAACTTAAGGAAAACTAAAAATAATTACCTCTAACTGTGAGAGATGTTTCTTGTGTCTTAGTTATTGGACCGGAACCAGCGTTAGTAAATAAAACAGAACACCTATAGTGTTTCTCATCTGAACATATCACCTCATTTACTCTCATTACAGTAACATAAGCACTAGCTCCATTAGCTGTTACATTGAATAATTCAGATCGATTCTTGTAATTTATGGCAAACTGTGTAAAGGAATTAGATCCACTTGAACCAGAGGGAGAAAAATAGGCAATACTTGTAAACTCCTCTGGTCCCGGGCCTGTTTTAACTTGCAAAGAAATAGCTCCTGGGTAGACTATATCACCGGAGTCCAGTGTATATGTACATGTGAAGTCAACAGAGCCTCCAATAGTAGCTGTCAGAAAGTCTGCTGTAGAAACTGTTCCAGCAATAGTGCCTATAACAAGAAAAATGCACCCGTGCAATGCTGTTCATGAGAACGGACCTTATCCTTTTATTAGTAAGTTTCTTAAAGTTTAACCTTACTTTATTTTGATTTTTCTTTATTCAAGATATATGTCTGGCTATATTTAAAAATATTTATGATTGTGTTAATACTACGGCAGCTATATACAAAAGCTGGAAAAGGCTTCTTAAATTTCTAATAAGGTAAAAAAGAAATTTTTTAAAGTTTTATATGAAGTAGGTACACTTGAATCTCGTTATAACAAGTTAATTACTTTATTTAAGCAAGTAAGTTACATGTATTTCCTTAACTACATAAAAAGATGATTATCTCGTTTTAACGATCGAGTTATCCAGAGTTATTTTTTTAATTTTAAAGAGGTTACTTATTCAATCTGTCGAGATAGCTGTTTCATTGTTACAAGTTACATGTACATGACATATCATTTAAATTCTTTTCTCGTCCTTAAACTACAATCGCGCCCATTGAGGTGAAAATTGCCCACTTTAAATGATTAAAAATTAAATGTAAGAAACATTTTACCATTTGCAATTAAGTTTCGAGTGCTGAAATTTAATAGATCTGGCCCTTCATATACCTGCATTTCTTTATTCTTGAAAATAATCCTGCAATACTTTTATCAAAAATTGTGTTAATTGTACAATTTTGTTTAACTTAAAATGTCATGAAAGGTCCTTAAGTATTCTGTGTATAAATTATGCAGGATGTGAAAATAGAAGAAATAGCATTCAACAAAAATGAGTCAAGATAAGCAAACCTACCTTCATGAACAATATAAAGGTATAAAAAGCCAGAATGTAAAATGAAGGAAAAAAATATGTCAGACTCCATTCCTTACAATTTGAAAAACACTACGATGCATATTTCCCAATGTTTTTTAATTTATGAAAAAAACTTAGCTCATTGTTCGACGCCATACAAAATTGTGGTGGTTTCGATATCGGTGATAGTCAAAACCCCTTGAGAATGGCCTAGTTCTTTTGTTTAGTTGCTAGCATTATCACATGTTGAAGGATGTACCTATTCACAATAATGAATAGATTATGAAAAGATCATAAAACATTTATACAATTATAATATTGTTACACCCCTATTGTAGCTCAATGTTTGTTAAACGTTTTGTTTTACAATCTATAAATAAGGTTTCAACCCCTTAAATTCATATTTTTTGTACTTTCGATTTGTTTTTTACTAAATGCCAAGTAATCTCTCTCTCTCTCTCTCTCTCTTAACTTAAAGAAATATAGATCTTAGATACATCTTCAGAATTAAATGAATAATGTACTTAATTCTGTAACTAAATCTCATAAGAAAATCAAAATACCTGTAATTAATACATTAGCATCATGTTCCACAAGATTAGTGGTTGGTTGACTGACTGATTGTTATATTACTTTGGTTCACGTCCCATTTGAGAATTGTTCAATCATACGAGTACATAGAGGTCACCATATGATATAATAAATTTGTGTAGGATTTAAATTCCCATATGAATTTGAGAGATACTCTTATAGGATGGACGAATACTTATGTGTACAATACTCTAAATTTCATAATCTCGATTAGTTTCAGAAAAAGTTCCCTAGGACTTGATGGATGCGTTTCTTCAGTTGAGTATGCATTTACTTCGAATGGATTATCTAGTCCATGAACACTGTCACTTCTATTTCTAGCTTGCTTCACGTACTGATAATGAAGTTGATTGGCTGATAGAAGGAAACATGGACATTACGAACAGAATTCAATCTCAAAGTCCTTAAAACAGTACAAAATCGGAGCAGAACAAACAAGGACCTCTCTAAGATCAGAAGTGGGAGCAGGTGCCATGGTAGAGTGAGCATCCCCGTCACACTCGCCGTTCACTCCTTATCATGATCAGAAAATAACAGGAAAATCTGTCGTCAATTTAGTGTATAAATAATGGACTAACAATTGGTACAAACGAGGGTTGTCCATAAAAAGGCGTAGACAATGTCAGTAAATTTTTCAACACGCAATCAATTCTAACCAAATTTTGCATGGACATAATACAATCAATTTTCTTTATAATTGTGAATTTTTGAATATATATCTTTCAAATTAATTATATTGGGACGATTTATATGAAGACCGTTAATCGCCTCATGTGAAGAGAAAAAGGGTATTATGACGTAATGAGAGACATAAATTACGCTTGCTTTCGTGCGCCGATGTACATTTACATGGTTTCTATATTTTTTCATAGTTTACGTATTTAATGTGGTATCGTCATGAAACATGACATACATGATCATAAAATGTTACTTTTTGCTATTACAAGAAAAGAAATTTGATTAAGCAAAGAAAAAATAAACTATGTTTACGACTTTTGGGGACAACCCTCGTATGTATCAAAAACGTCAGTCAGCATTTGAATCAATCATAAATTATATTCACTGACAAGATCATTGTATCGACCATAGAAGTTACGAAATGATGACTTTAAACGAGACTGCTGATATCCTTGTTTCATCAACTTGCTTGTCAATAATTGACCTTGTTTTAAAAATTGTTAATACGTAAAGCATGCTCTTGCGTCTCGAATCAATTGAGATACATATACTCCGTATGCAGGTAATCCCGTTTATCAAATAGCTGGGCTGTAAGATTACCATTAACGTGTTTTTCAAGTACAATATCCAAGTATGAAGCAGATGTGTCAGAATCAGTGGTATCTTTTATCTCAAGCTCACCATGATATATCATTTTGACGTAGGAATGGAAATTACCATTGCTAATTGACAATACGTCGTCGATATGTCTAAATGACGAGTTGAAGGCCACAGGAAGTGTTTTTTCTTCTTTTCACGCATAATATTTTACACAAATTCTGCTTCATATGAATATAAAAATAAATGTGCTAATAACGAAGCGCCATTGATACCCATGGGTATTCTAATAGATTGTTGGAGTACCCGGTCACCAAAAACCACAGTTATTGTCAATCAAAATCTCAAGCTTTACTTTGATATCAACTTCGAAAAGTTTCTATTATTGTTTTCTAACAAAGTCTTATTTACTTTGACTTTTTTCTGTGGTACCCTGAGAAAATTCAACCTTTTGTTTGTCCGTAACCTTGTCCGTATTGCTGTTGTTGTCCGTAACTTGGAAGAGGTCCGTAAGTTTGTTGTCCTGTCTACTGTTGTTGTCCGTAGGTCACCATTGTATCTTTCTCTTACGTTTGCCTTTAGGTCATAATAATCCTGTTTTTTTTGTAAAATGTGTAAATTGAATGTGACATCTAAATCAACCAGTAGAAGCACTTTGTATCGCAATTTCAAGGATGTTGATGACACAAATAGAAATAATTCATTAAACGTACTTCAATTATTAGCCATACAATATTTATAGAATGACCTATTTTTATTTCAAAATTAGGTCAGTAAAAAATTGAACCAAAAACTAGCTTTATGAAAAATTAAACGGTAAAAATTAAAATTTAATACGAATTTTTATTTCAAACGTTTTTCTAGTGTTTAATGACATAATTATTTGTCTTCTATGCAGCCGACCTTTCATACCTTCGATACCGTATATACATTCTCAAGGTGACACACACAGCAAAGTTTGTGCTTAAGATAACATATACAGCAGATTCTGTCATATCATTTACAACATCGTTCTTACATACAGTAAGATATAATTGATGGTAACACATAGCAGACGTTCATGTACATTCTATAAAATTTACAACAATCGATCAAACTAACATACATACAATCATAAGCGTTATATATGCTGTAAACAACCATATTTACTATAAAATACGAAACGTACGCTAATAAACACGACATGACTTTCATACTTTTTATATTATTATGCGGTAACATATACTGTACATTCTAAACAAACATACTTACATATATGGTAAGATACGAAAGTCCACTAATCACTTCGAAGTTCATATCGTGCTAATAATCTTTGATAAATATTTTAAGCTAGATTAAAAGAAATGTGATTTCTTTCAATGTGTTATTTCTTAAACACGTCTATATGGGGCACAAATGTCAAGTTTTTCCAAGACTGATTCTGAAACTTCAAAGAACCTTGAGACACATTGAGATTCATTGAATAAAAATTGCTGCTTGAAAAGATTTTATTTAAAGCTTTATTTTGAAACTTTTTGAAATAAATAAGAAATTGAAGTGTTATCCTTCTTGACTGAGGAATAGATATCAAAAGAATATTTAGTGCTGCTTTCTGATGGAGAAGTCGCTAAAGTAAAGCGTCTGCACAAAGCAAGTTAACTGATAACTGCCTTTTATCTTCTGTATCCAATTGGTGTAAGGTAATCTTGTCCAAAATGCAGAGGTTGTTTATTACTTTGTGTTCTTGATGGTTCAAAAGGTTGTTTTACGTGACCAATCTTATTTTGTAGTTTTTCGTAGTTTACCATAGCTGTGGAAGGTAGAACAACACAAAATCAATGCTATTCTTTTGAGCTGTGTGATATGCTTTAGGTATGGCGCCTTTTTAAAAAAAACCCAGATATATGCAGTGATATCTCAGAAGGAGAAAAAGCTGTCTTATAGTTCTATTTTATAAAATGCAAAGATTGATTTTATTGTTTTAATTAATCTTCAGTGAAATACAATCTTTTTCTGAGAATCCACAAATTATGCATTTTTTTCATTATTGATGTTCCCGAGAAAACACCGGAAGCCTTAATTTGTATTTATTTAAATGCCAAGAATATTTTCATATTTAGTTTCTTAAATTAAAATATATGAGAATTTTGTACATTGTCGACTTATACAGTTTTTTATCCAAATCAATATTCCGTATCTTGTTTAAAATATGTATTGTTTGAATTATTTATAAACTCCATAATTATAATTAATAAATTTTAGCTTCTATACAATGGTATCTTTTAGCTGAAAAAAGAAGCAGTTTCCATATCAGATAATTATTCAATTGATTTAAGAATAAATTATCATTTCCTTTTTTAAAATTAAAAATGGATGAAATGTCATTATTTATAAGTCTTCAAGAAGATCTATATCGAGATTTAGCACCAAATTTACACTAATATGAATCGAGCATAATATTTTATGCTTTCACGGAGAAACAAAACAAAAATGGCATCGAAGTTCTGAACACTCTCAACAATTTCAGGAGGAAAAAAGCTTAACTTTACCTTTCAAAGAGAGGAGAACCAGAAATGAACAAATGCATTTCGATCAAAAAACAAAGAAATTGAAAATTGGTATGATTTACACTTGTTCGTTTAATCAGAGGTCTGTACAGCAGAGCGAACGTTCGCGAGCGCTCGTCAAATTACTATTGGAGGTAAACGGAATTTTGGCGAGTGCTCACGAACGTTAGCTCTGCTGAACAGGCCTCTTGTAAACTCTTTTTGAGTCCAAATCCATGCAGATTCATGACTTTGGAACGGTTTTTATTTAAATGTTTATAATATTATATTAGTCAGTCGTTTCCATTAAATTGCAATTTACATATACATATACATATATTACTAAACAATGTAGTATATTTCTTTATCCTTGTTTGACACGTTCAAATATTAAACATACCTGTAGTGTCTGAAAGTTTTTCATATCCGTGTTCTTCTTTTCTGTGTTTTAGTTCTTCATATGCTGTACTGAATATTCCAGATAAAATAACTGCATTTTAAACGTTGCCCTTCATTTTCATTTCCATTTAACTTTTATTCCAAATCATCATCAAACATATTTTTTTCAAAAATTTCTTACCCGTATGATCCATTATCTGAAGAAAGAAGAGAGGCGTAAAATAGATTAAATTTCATGATTATAAATACTTGTAAATAGAATGTCAATGTGTCTTTTAAAAAAGAAAATATTATCTTGATATATCTATATGTTTTACAAAATGCCCTTACTTATTGGCGGTCTAATGACGTCATATCCGTTTTCCTGATCCCGACGAATCTGTGTCAGCTCTTCATATTGAGCTCTTAAAGAATTAATATAACGTTTATAAATAGTCATCATTTACGTGTCAACTAATAACCTTTCGTTAAATGATAAAATATTTTACTAGAAGGAAAAACAAGGAGATGCATGCATACAATCGTAGCACAAGAATTATTTGTTTCGATGTGATATTATAATCATTCTATAGTGTTATTTATTAAAACTGTGACAGCTCTTTACATTGACAATGAAAATGTTTTCAAAAACAGAAACTACACTTGTCCTGCCAGTTGGTTTGAATAAGCTTATTAAAAAATATTGTGTCCTTTTCTTAAGAAAAAGTATAGGTCTACCTCATACTGACACTTTAGCTTTTGGCTTCAAAAATTACCACTTAAATTACATGTTTACATGTACCTCTAATCCTATTTTTGGCATCCTCTTAGAATAGTTTCTTGATTGCTTTGAATATATTTTTGTTATAGTTTCTTAAATGTTACAAATGCATATTGATGTCAACCTTCTATTCACAGTGCTTTTTAGACTTTACATCTGTTACTTAATTTTTTCTGATGATAAAGCATATGTTACCTCCTCTCTGTTTCAAGCCCTGTAAATTCAGGAAAATGTCATGAAATAAATTTTTTTCAAAATTTATAAAAGTAAAAAATCATTTAGAATGATTTAATGCTTACTTTGTGTGCCAGAGACAGTGTTTAACTCTTCCATTTTTCTGTTACTGTGAAATAAACATAATTGATCACATTAAAAGAATACAAACACATGAATGTCATTTTATGATTAATAAGAAATTATTTTACTGAGGTCCTTTATTTTACAATGCCTTATTTTGTAATTTGGTTTACAAATGCGTACTATTAATTAATTCCGTGTTCTCATTTTTAAGCTTTCGCCTAAAGGTGTATGTACAAGTAGGAGTAGGCCTCAATTCCTGAAAAGTAATGGATCCGACTTCCCATTTAGTTGCATTTGATTTTGTGAATAGTAAAAGGGATTAAAATTTATATATGAAAAATTTGTACAAAAGTGTGAATTTATTTTTTTTCACGGTTGTTTATCAAATCAACTTTCCTATGTATTTCATAGAAAAGTGGAAATTTATTTCATTCGTAAATAGATCATTAAAATATTTAATTCAAGGCAAAGAAAATTATTATTATAATGATATATGAAATCTTGTAACTTTTACTGAAATTATTTAGCAAAATCAAATTTTGATATATCAAGACATTATTATGAAGTGCGTAGAATTGGCCTCAGTTGTAAAACTTGTATTTTGAGATTAATATAAACATTAAACTTCCTTTGAAAGCTTAAGGGACCTGTCCTAACACTAGAGCTTAAGGATGTACAACACACCTACCCCCAAAAATTCCTGTCGTTTAATTTTCGTTATTTTTATATATTCAGTACATGACTATATCTACTGCATGTTTGCATGTTTTTGACAAAATCGTTCGAGTGGTTTTTGGACAGGAACTTCCGAAAGTTACCCCCCTTTAGTTGTTTACAAGGAAAGAAAATTTTTAATCAAAGAACTACCTAAACCTTGATTTTCAAAAAACCAGATTAAACATCAATGTCAAATTTTATTGACTTATTCCTTTAACCATTTAACACAAAATCATAGTCATCTTTTTGATATACATATCATCAAAACAATTTTTAAAGACCTTAAACTGAAAAACTATGAATTTCCTAAGCCTTAAAAATTGCATATTTTTTAAATTCAAAATTTTTTTGTGAAAAAACCTGTCGTTTAATTTTGCTAAAAAACTTTCTTTAGGTAGCTGGTAGTAAAAATAATCTTCATAATTTTTTGTATAATTTTTGTTCGACCAGTTTTGATTTGATAGCGGAAAATTACCCCCTCCCCCTTTCTCAATAAATCACGTTCCCGCGCGTCTTTCAGACAGGGGGTCGATCACTTTGTTATATGAATCTACTAATACACATTAAAAAAAGTTAAATTGGAATATTGCTTTTGCTTCAAAAGTATATTAACTTACAAATTTAAAAGTTCTCATATGGAAAGCGTATTTAAATGTAGATTTTTTAGGCAATTTTTGAATACCCCTATCACCCCCACCCCTTCCTTTTTCGCGTCGCAGACCATTAGCATTAGAAGAAACGTCGTTTACAGTGCAAATATACCGGTATTTTGTCAAGAATCCCGGGGGTATGCATTAGTTTTTAAATTCATGATTACAGAATAAATATTGACTACTCTTTTTATATGTATCAGGAAAAAAATACTGAAAGACTTTAGTTTTTAGTCCATATACGTATGCGTTAAGCATTCCATATCACATGAAACCTGGATACGAATTCAAGTTTTGTTGAACTTGATGTTGATTTTTAATGTTATTTCTTTAATTAAATTTTATTCAATATAAAAATGGTGTATGTTCAACTCTTCTGTGATATAAATGGAATAATTATAGTTTCTTTCATGAAATTTTTTTAAACGAGACAGTATATATGTGGCCGTGGGGATACATCGACATTTGCATTAGATCATAGATGTACATACCGGGTACACCCCTCGTGATATTGTAGCCGTCACATTTCTTATGTACAATGTCGTCGCTTCTAAAGTTAATATGAAAATTCCGTATTCGTCCACATTAACTTCAAAATATCAAACATTAAACTTTTCATCTATTTCAATTGATATCAAATCCCACATTGATGTCTTTCAAAATCTTATAGAGCTACGTTTGTTTTGAATCGAGGAAATGCGAACCAACATTGTTGACAGAAAGTTACTGAGAAAGTTAAAGTTACGATTTGCTGCAATAGCTAGGATATTCATAAATGAAGATTTCATTACAAGTGAACAATTCTTTTCAATTCTATTACTTACATTGTGTATATGAGGACTACAGTATTCAATTGTCGGATTTATCAGGTCTTGCTGTAAATGTATCTGATTCTGTGGAAAACCGTGAAAAAAGGGAGAAAAATAAACATCTCCTATATTTTCAGAGTTGTTCCTCTTTGATCAGTAAGAATCTGAGAACAACATCGATTTTACATTGTTAAAAGTTTATTGTTTCTTTATTGCTGTTTTATTTAATTAAAGAAGGAAAACAATATATATATCGTGTATGCACAAATTGTAATGAAGACCATTAATCGGAATATTGTATACACAATGAGAAATTCGGCAATGTAGAAAAAAATGCTGCGCTTTGATCAAAAATACAATTTATTGTATATGAAATGATATAAACATTAAGGGATTGTATTTTATATCTTGCTTTTTACGGAGTTTACTCACGTTAAAAAAAAATACTTATTGATTGAGTATGGTACTCACAATTACAGCCAAGAACCATATCACCGGTCACGGTAGCCTAGTGGTAGAGCGTTCGCTTCGTGATCGGGAGGCCCGGGTTCGATTCTCGATCGCGGCGCCGCGTCATACCAAACACTTAAACAAAGGTAGTGACTGTTCCATCGCCAAGCGCTCGGCACTAGAAGTGAAAGTCACGGGTCTTTCGGATATGACCTTAAAAACGTAGGTCCCGTGTCGCGGTAGGCGTTGGCACGAAAAAGAACCCTCACTGCTCAATGGCCCTGAGTGCCGAGTAAAGGTCTAAATTTGAAGCCCTTCACCGGCATCGGTGACGTCTCCATATGAGTGAAAAATTCTCAAGAGGGACGTTAAACAATATACAATCAATCAATCAAGAACCATATCCCAATTTTCTTTCATAATTGATATACATCGGGATCGTTTTACTCGTCGCTTTGACGCTTTATTTTTGACGTTAAACTTGACGTCAAGTCAAACGTTTAATTGAAATTGCAAGAGTTATCTCCCCCAGTGTGTTGTACGTCTTTAAAACCTATTTCGAATTTAAAATTCCTTTCTCCTTGTCTGAAATCTATTGTTTATAATAGTCAGAACAGTTTTGACTGAATAGTCCATGTTTTGTTACCGCTCTTACCTTGAATTTTGTTTTCTTTCTGAAAGTAAGATTTTCCAAACATTATTCTAAAATGATTGCCTAATTTAATAGAATAAAAATCAAGATTACTTATAATTTAAACGAAATACTTACCAACACATAAAATTTGGTATCTTCTGTTAAAGATCAAAAGACCAACAAGTACAACTAAAACAACTCCTCCAATGGTCCCGCCAGCGATGATTTCTAATTGTATCAAATTTAAAACAGAAAATACCAATCATGAATGATATAATAACTTTACAAGATTTTGTAATCATTTCAACCATTGAATATGAAATTCTAAAAAAGGGTAAACTGTAATATTAAAGCTATAAATCCAAGACATCTTTATGAAAAATATAGTTAGAGTGCGATGTATATGTTTGCAGACTTTAGTTAAAAGATATCAAACACGATAAGACAGCATTTGACATCAAACTCAGTGCCAATTACGTCACTCATAAGTTACGTAAAATGCAAGGATTGCGTATTTGTATCCCCTCCATTCCATTGCGATAAGGTGAAAATCTTAATATGCTATGGTCTATGAAAAATTGCTCTATTGTAATCCTGAATTCATTTTACGTCGACATAAGTACTGTCAATATGTTAAATAGGTATAATAACGATGATGTTCTAATCGTGGAGAGTATTTGTAGTTTCATTTTTTTTAACTTGAAATTAAATAAAAATTTTTAAATTAGTAAATTCGGACTCTAGACACGTAGAATATTACAATGGAATCCCCCCCTAAAAAATAATTAAATTAATAAATATACTAAAATAATGAGTGCGAGTATAAAATGCAGAAAAAAATAAATTTAGCTTGAATACTTTCTACAAAATTACAAGACGTACAAGGATCCTGGTATGCATCTGAGTATAATACACCACTATTAACCATTGTTTGTTTGTTTGTTGTACCTCTCAAGAATTTGTAAAGTATGTTATCATGGCAAAGGATGTTCAGAGGTATAGAATAAAACATGGTTAATTGATCAATAAAGTTTGTTGCAAGAGAAACAGGAGAATGTGCAAAACAAAACAGTTTTTCATAAGCACTACTGTATTCTCCAACTACTCAGATTTTCCGGAAACCACTTGGTCTTGAACGAATATCTAATGAAACAAGCATTCTGAGAATATTGCATAAGCAATACATGTCCCCTACCGGGTTCCCCTTTTTCTTCAGAATGTCATTTTATAACGTTCAAAAGTCATGTCCAAGTTTAAACTGAAAGATTTTCAAGTTGTAAGTTGAACTGAAAGATTTTCAAGTTGCCTTAAAAGTAATAAAATAATCAGCGTTTAAACGAAAATTCAACTCATTTCTCCATTGTCTTTTCCTCGCTTCATATTTTTGCCGACATTCGGAAATTAGCGCAGTTCGAACCCAATCTTTATTAAGCGATTATGAAAAATACTCATAATGCCATAATTCTGTCAAAAATCAATGAAGCAAAGCAAAATTCAAACTTGATCTGTAACTCCGTATGATACACTCACATGCCCAATTTCAGCTGAATATCTGCAAGCGTTTAGAAAAAAGAGCGCAAAACCAAGTGGGACAGACTGACGGGGACAGACAGACAGACGGATGGACGCAGAGGAAACCTATAGTCCCCTCCGGTTTCACCGGGGACTAATAATAGAACGGTATTATTATTTATATATTTTGTTAATCTGTCTAACTGTATAAAACATCGAAAGAACTAAATATATTATTTATTTTTGAAATTTTGTACTTTTCTGTTGTTTTTTTTATTTACATCAATTGTTTAGTGACAAATGCAGGTTAAGAAGAATCACAGCTGAAAGGTTAATAGGGATAAATTCTCTCGGTGGTTCATTAAAACATTGTCGATGATAACTATGATGTATTTTTAAAAATAATTATATATTATTTTATATGTAAGAGTGCATGCATACTAAAATATTACCGCTCCGTTCCTGTGTTGTGAATGTTTCAGAAGATGCAGTTGTATCGATAGTATGCGAAGCAATTGGCGTAAAAGTTGGGGTAGTTGTAGTTGTAGTTTTCACTATCCACATGGAAACAAAAAGAAGTCTTTAGATAATAAGTTTTTAAAAAACAAACATTAAACCCAGGTTTGACTGGATACAGGTGATTTTTAAGAAGTTTAAGTTTAAATCTTTGAGTTTCTAATAAGGCTCTTAAATTATATGCAATCTCTTGATTATTAATTATAAAAAAAAAAATGATAAAACCCAATGTATTCTTAAAGGTAGCAATAACACAAACGAGAAAAAATAATGTTACTCTTTGAATATGAGACTTTTTTGACATCAACTATTATTTCAAAGGATAACAGTGTAAATGAAACAATCCCTTACCAACTTGTAAAATTTGGTCTCTAGATGCCTTAAAAAATTTTTCATTGAATCCATTGAATGCAGTACAAGTATAAGTCCCTGTATCAGTTTCCTGAAGATTGGTCAGAGTCAATGTTCCATTAATGGATGATAGTTCTGTAACATTGTCATTGGGACTGGCTTTGAACGTCCATTGATATCTGTTAACAGTCTTATTTGTGTGGATTCCAGGTGTTGGATTACCATCAGCTTGACAGGTCAAGGTCAGGGAGGAGCCAACGGAATACTTAGAGTCAGCACCAGTGTCTGGAAGCTTCCTTATGATGGGAACATTGACCTTAACTATAATTATATAAAAAAAAAATACTGAGAGTTAACACCCGTGGTCTGTGCAACTACCTAATTCTAGTAACTCTGAACTTAAACACACAAAAGTACTTGATATTTGTTACGGTAAATCATAATTTACATTAATTAGAAAAACGCTTCGTTGCATACATTTTGCTTTATGTAAGCTACTGCATGCAGGGGGTGGAGGTACATTTATTTTCGCCCCATGTTATTTTACCCTATCACTTTTGTCAGGTTTAAATACGTCCAGTAACAGTTCCGGTTAAGAAAATATACTGTCATCCTCTTGTCAATTTGCCCACTTTTGTCTGTAATTAATTTTGAATTGGGCGAAAAAAGGGCGAAATTTTCCTGTATACAGTATTTTATTATTTTATGCGCTTTTACACATTGCATTAGTTTATAAATATTCATGTCTGCTATTGACCTAACAGTGCTAGTTACACATGACATGAACATAAAGATAAACTTACAGAATACATTAACCCTTTTAGATTCTTGATTAGGTTTGTCTCGGTCTAGTATTGTTAACAGTTCATTGTCCACGAAACATCTCCACACCGACTGGTCATCATCCTTCGTCATCCTGTATATTACCGTGCTGGTCATGTTGTAGACGCACACGCCTTCTTGAACCGGTGGGGAGGCCGTAGACACCCCTGTCATTTCCTGGGGAGCCGTTATCCCATTCCTGTAGCGCCACCACTTGATTTGTCCTGGAGGTTTTCCAATATTGGCTGTACAGGATAAAGTCACTACCATGTTCTCTTCTATATTGTCTGGTTCAAGAACTGGAAAGTCATAAGGTTGCTCAGCAGGTGCTATAAAGATTTACAGATATGTTGTTTTACACTTGTCATTTAATTTGTATGCATCAAGATTTTTTTGCGGTTGATACAAGCTCAATTCATATTACATTTGTCAATATGCAGAAATATTACATATTATATATAAGTATTTTTTATATGAATAAAAATACGTACCTCTAGCTGCGACAGAGGTTTCTTTTGTCTTAACTACAGGACCTAATCCAGCATTAAGAAATAAAACAGAACACCTATAGTGATTCTCATCTGAACACATCACCTCATTTACTCTCATCACAACAACATAAGAATTAGCTCCATTAGCTGTAACATTGAATAACTCAGAACGATTCTTATAATTATAATCTGTGGCAAACTGTGTAAAGGAATTAGATCCACTTGAACCAGGAGGAGAAAAAGTGGCAATGTTTGTAAAATCCTCTGGTCCTGATCCTGTTTTAACTTGCCAGGAAATAGCTCCCGGATAGACTGTGTCACCGGGGTCTAGTGTATATGTACAGGTGAGGTCAACAGAGTCTCCGATAGTGGGAGTGAGAGAGGCTGCTGTGGAAACTGTTCCGGCAATACTACCTTGAAAATAAGAAATATGCAGCATTAATTTAATTTTACACAATAAGTATGAAATAATGATTTGATTATGAAAGCCGTATGATGCATGCTTTTGGAGATAATTAGTATAATAGATCTACAAAGTTATCTGTCTTTGATTTAAGACTACTACATGTTTGAATATTATTCAAACACTACATATCCACAACCATATATCTAAATAGCATAATACCATTCAAATTTAAGATGAAGTTCAAAAATTAAATCACTATGATGATCTTTAAAATATAACTACATCTTGGCAAGTTAAAGAGGAGGAAAATGTGAACAATTTTTCAAAATGCTACTCCCCCTACAGTTTTGGACAGATATAAATATAACTTGGCACATAAGTAGACTGCACTTAGATACATAATTCTATGCATCGTTTTTTTTTTTTTTTATTTCGATGAATGGTGTTACCATGGTTACTAAAAATAGAAAATGTTGTGAAATTCTGTCAAAAAGCTACTCCTCCAACAGTTTTGGACAGGTTTAATTTAACTTGGCACACAATTTGTGTACACTTAGATACATATTTCTGTGCATCGTTTTTTGATTTCGATAAAATGTGATGCCATGGTTACTTAAAAGAATGTAAAATTCTTTTAAAATGCTACTCCTCCTACAGTATTGGTCCGATTTCAATACAATTTGGAACAGCCAAGTAGACAACACCAATTTACATAATTTTTTGTATCGGTTTTCGATTTATTGAACGGTGTTGCCTTGGTTACAAAAAAAAGAAATTTCTGTGAAATGCTTTCAAAATGCTACTCCTCCTAAATTTTTAATCCAATTTTAATATAACTTGGCACAAAAGTAGACAATACTCAAATATAGAATACTGTGCATATGTTTTATTATAATGAGCGGCAAGGATCATTTTTCTTTTATCATTTTCATTTTTATACCTTTGTTTTAAGTATAAACACTACAGTCTCAACAAAGAATTATGGTTTACATAACGAATGAGGGGTCAGTTAATAATTTTATCTACTTCCTGTTTCATATTGGGACAAAAAAAATGCCACTACCCCTATACTATCTACAGGTGAGGTGATTTATTTCTTTCTATTATCAGTTACACTGTTACAACATCTCAGAACAAAAACGTCCCACATTTACATTTTCTAAAATCAATATGTTTATTTTATCTTGGTTATGAATTCCAAGACACGATACCGAAATTGCTATCTCAAAGGTAAAACCATATATGTAATCAGATAAGTTTTAAACTGAAATAATAGTTTCAATGTTTATGTATTTTAGTGAATGGTAAAATTTCTACATATTGACAAGACTTGAGGGTTAGTAATTAAAAGCTGGTCTTTCTGCTAAATTCTTTTTTAACCTGATTTACTTTCCTTAGACCAAAACCCTACAGAATAATTCAAAACTTTTTTCACTAACATATTTTTCACGTGTTTTAAATTTATACGCAAATTGATCATTAAGTACATTGTAAACATGGTAAATTAAAAAAAAAATCGATAACAAATACTTTTTAAAATACATTCTTATATTTTCTTTCCAATAACTTACCCCCAGGAAGAAAGGAAAGGTATAAAAAACGAAGATGCAGAAAATTAAATAATAATTTGTCAGATTCCATTGAATTCATTTAGAACCCATCGTAACTCGTTGTATAATTCTGCAAATTGTTCGATAAGAAAACACCAACCACACTTTCCACAGCAAAATCAATAGAGATTTCGATATTGATGATATTTGAAATTCCTTTTAAATGACGTAGATATATCGTTTATTTACTAACAACAAACTACGGGGAATACCGAACCCCATCACAACGATAAACATATCATGATAAGAATATGCAATATCTTCATATGCTCTTTTTGATAAGCATGTAACGCTTATAAAACTTATTATAAAACTATTAAACAAATATTTGCATATATGCTTAGATTGTGGATTTTAATTTTCCTCGTTCTTTACATTTCCTTAATGTATATCCATTAAAATTAACATTGTAACAATATTTTAAGACTCTGTAGAAACAAAATGTATGGTGGCATATCCCCCCACATTCAAAATAAATTATGTTAACATGCAAGATAATTATGTAGACATGCAACATAATTATGTCAACATGCAAGCTAATCATGTTGACATGCAACTACCAATCATATAAGAAAATATAACTTAAATATGGGTAAATCATCTTCCCAACGCCGGTATATACATAAGCGTAATGGCTCTACACTTGTTGTGTTATAACTTTGTATATTGTGTTATATTTTTTCGACTTTTTAACATATAAAGTGTTAAACCTCCTTAATTTTACACAGATTTGAATTGAATTAAGACTTTTTTAACATAATTGAAGGCAACTTCTTTTATTCATTAGATTTTCTTGCTTTAAGTTTTATTGAATGAAATATTATATCAATTTTCAGATATCGACCGAAACAATATATTTAATCATTTAATCATGTCAATGTAGTATTGTCGATATGAAAAAATAAACATATAGTTATATTGATATAAATATATGAATATTTTCAAGAAGAAATAAAAAAAAATTGTTTTTGAATTAATTTGGCGGGGCGGGAACATTCTGATGAATCTTCACTTCACCCGGGAGGTTTATGTACCATGTATTTGCTATCGATTTAAAGCTGAAACAAATTCAAAAAAAATTGAAAAATGGAGATGGGAGGCATCAACAGTTAGATTATATGCTTTGTCATAGCGGGTTATTGTACCCATCGCCAGTTCAATTTCATCCATTAATGGATGATAGTTTTGTAACATTGTCATTGGGACTGGCTTTGAACGTCCATTGATATCTGTTAACAGTCTTATTTGGGTGGATTCCAGGTGTTGGATTACCATCAGCTTGACAGGTCAAGGTCAGGGAGGAGCCAACGGAATACAGGGAGTCTGCACCAGTATCTGGAAGCTTCCTTATGATGGGAACATTGACCTTAACTATAATTATAGAAAAATACTGAGAGTTAACACCCGTGGTTTGTGCAACCACCTAATTCTAGTAACTTAAACACACAAAAGAACTTGATGTTTGTTACGGTTAATTATAATTTACATTAATTAGAAAAACACTTCGTTGCATACTTTTTGCTTTATGTAAGCTACAGTACCGACCAGACCCAACCTGACACAAAGCAGTCCCAGAGCTGTCCCGGGGACTGCTTGCTGGGACTGCTAAAGCAGTCCCGCAGCGGTCCCACAGCGGTCCCAGAGCAGTCCCACAGCAGTCCCAGAGCGGTCCCAGCAGTCCCAGCGGTCCCAGAAAGCAGTCCCAGCAGTCCCAGAAAGCAGTCCCAGCAGTCCTAGTGGGCGGGGTTTATTAATCTAATGGGCGGGGCTAACTCAGAAATGAGATTTCCAATAAACAATGAAACTATAAAAAGCAGCTGAATTTTTTTTCTCAGCAGTATGCCAGGAATCCTTACAATGTGAAGGTCATTTACATGTATGAGCAGTACCCGCATAGATTTGAAACAATTTGAACTAATATTTAATGAAGGAATAAAGCTTACACACCTACATAAATGAATTACACTGAACATGTATATTTAATCACAATTATCTTGGGTTTTTTGTGATTGATACTGGCTCCCATATTTATTTTCTATACAGAAAATTAAAATTGAATTAATTATTTTTCACCAGAATTAGTTTTAAATAGATCAATTCATTATCATGGCCGATTTCCATACTATCGGGATACTCTAAAGGCATTTTTTTAAAAAAAGTATTAGGGCTTTTTAAAAATCCGATGCTAATTTAGCCAAGTAATATTTTTCAGAATTGATTATTCTTTACTGACATGTTAATTTAAACATTATTGTTCTATTTGTAAATTGTATTAGTTACCAGTATAGAATCCTAAGATTATGTTCAACATTAATTACTCTTGAAAGAAATTTATACACATTTAATTTTCCTTTTTATTTTTTACATTTTTTACATAGATTGAAATTAGGGTCATTGATTATTGAGCAGCATGTTCAATGATGTGTAACAATGATACGTGAACCCAAATAACATGCATGATTGATTTTCTGCCCAAAGGCGATTGAAACCACAGGTGTTTATACCATTTTATTCATACACATTATCGGCCAGGTAAACAAAAGCAAAACAAAAAAGAAATAAATCAGAATTCCAGGTATTACAGATTTTCAACTGTTTATCTTTTTTTTTTAATTTTCTCTTTGACTAACTTATTCATAAATTAAAAACTAATTCATCTGTAAATTGCTGTAGAATTGTTTACATTGCTTATATTACGGAAGAATGGTGGCATAATTTTATTTCATGTCATAAAATAAATTGTTAGATTTTTATTTTAGGGTTGTATGTAAAACCCTTTTAGCGTAGTGCTTGTAAAACGTCTAGCCTTTTCAATTAAACTATCGTATGTCAAAATGTAATGATCGATTTTTTAAATAGTGCCATATGAAAATTTTGAGTGTTTTATTTCAAATTTAACAAGAAAAGAAATCTACATGTAGATATTTTTTTCTCATGAGTAGTTGTATATACTTTAGAAATAAAAATTTCCTCCTGACTTCCTAATACAACAACTTTATTTTTAAAAATATTCTATATTACATTGTGTAAATTTACAGTTCCTAAAACTATAAATTAACTATAATAAATGTAATCTCCAGTTATTAAAAGATTATAAGAAATCCTTGCGTATTAAACAGTTAAAACTTCTCTCTGCTGCAAGTAAACAAAACAATAGGGAGCCTGCAAATTCAGAATACACAAGGGGGAGGAGCTATCATGTCACTCAGAACCTTTGTCACACATGAGTGAACAAAGCAGTCCCAGAAAGCAGTCCCATGGGCAGCTGGGACTGCTGGGACTGCTTTTCATAGCAGTCCCAGAGCAGTCCCATAGCGGTCCCAGAGCAGTCCCACAGCAGTCCCAGAGCAGTCCCACAGCGGTCCCAGAGCAGTCCCAAAGCAGTCCCAGGGACTGCTTTCTGGGACTGCTTTGGTGTCAGGTTGGGTCTGGTCGGTACTGTACTGAATGCAGGGGTTGGAAGTACATTTATTTTCGCCCATAGTTTTTTTTACCCTATTACTTTTGTCCGGTTTAAATACGTCAGGTAACAGTTCCGGTTAAGAAATTATACTGTCATCCTGTTGTAAATTTGCCTACTTGTGTCTGTAATGAAAAGGGGCGAAAATAAAACTGTGGCGAAATTTTCCTGTACACAGTATTTTATTATTTTATGCGCTTTTACACATTGTATTATTATAAATAAATATTCATGTCTGCTATTGACCTATCAGTGCTACTTACACATGGCATGAACACAAAGATAAAAATGTCACTTTCCTGAAAATTTGCAGAACCCACGTGAAGAAAAATGACCCCCGTAGAAAAATGACCCCCTGTAGATTAAAGCTAAAATTTTTAGGGGGCAAAAAAATAGATAAAGTAGCATATTGGCCAAAATGTTCACCTGAGCTTATTGGGAATAAACGTATGATATGTTGATCTCATAACATTATACAATTATAGCCATATTAAAAGGTAAATGCAATGATTCAGAATCTAAAGGAGTAAAAGATTTATCAAGCCTTAAGGGTTAGGTAAATATTGTTTTTTGATGGTGGAAATCATCGAAACGACAGAAAAAATCATCAGTATTATACATTATTATATCCTCTGCTTGAAAAGCGGGAGGGTATATAGTGATCGGGATGTCCGTCCGTCTGTCTGTTACGCTTTGAGGTATCCATCTCTTACCCGCAAATCCCCATATTTAAAAAAGATGTGTTTGTGAAACAGCTATGCCCCTGTATGGCAACATAGCAAAGATTAAACTTTTCTTAAATGCAATTTAAATATATTGTTACCCAAAGTAAGGTCTTCTCACAAGAAATACAACTGCAAAATAGGACAGCCCTAGCACCACTTGTTCAAAAGTAATGGCTAAGGATAAGTTTTTGAAAGGAAGGTCAAACTCAAAGGTCAAAGTTGATGAAATCTTAAGAAAATGTTTAATGTAACAAGGATTACATGTGTGTAGCATGAATACCCTAGCCCTTACCGTTCAAAAGTTATGGCCAAGGTAAAAGAAATCACAAGTACGGAAACTCCAAGGCAAGGTCAAAAGGTCAAGGTTTTTAGAATCCAATGAAATATAATGCCAAAAAACTACATATTTGAAGTATGAGAGCTCTAGTATCTACCGTTCAAAAGTTATGTCCAAAGTAAAAATTTTGCATTTTTGTGTAACATGGGACAAACTCCAAGGTAAAAATCAAAAGGTCAAATTTAGTGGCACTCAAAGAAAGGTCTTGTCACAAGGAATATATCTGTGAAATATTAAAGCCATATCCCCACTCACTCAAAAGATAAAGAAAGGTTAATGTTTTTGCGGATAAACAAACCGCCAGATAGATAGACAGACATACAGAAGAACACGATAAAACTATATACCCCCGAGTCTTCGATTTCGGGGACAAAAAAATGGTCTTCAATTAACTTTTCATATTAATACATGTATACATTATAAAGAAGACGTTACAACAATGAAAATGTTTGTTCTGATTTTCATAATTATTTCTCTGAAAAATATACTCAGAACTGAGTAAAAGGGTGGAGTAAAAGAAGAATTAAGGTAGAACCTATGTCGGAAAAGTCTTTGTCACAAGGTTTTCAAACTCTTCAAAATGATAAATTAGTACTTGCTTATCAATCAGTTAAGATATCATGATATGTTTCCTTGTGTTTTAATCTAGAACAGGCTTTGAAACCTGGTATGATATTTACATACTGCGACTTCACATTTTCAAATTTTCAAGGGGTACTTGTCATAAAGGGAATATGAAAAATCACAAAAATACTTCTTTAAACATCGTCGTTTATGAACTTTTTTAACTGAACAATATTAAACAATATTTTATCAAGAATAATTTCTTTTTTATTTAATTAACATAAACAACAAGTACAGCATTTAAAAAAAATAGTCAAATAAACTCTATTAATTTAGTCAATTATGCACCCTATATTTGTAAATATTTTTAGATGTCTTTGTCACAATGTTTTCAATCTTCAATATGACGAAGAACTTAGCCAATTGATTACAAAATAATGATTAAAATATATACCTTTCCCCTCTAACTAATGAATGATAGGCTATTTACCGATACTCATATTTGTGACCTTTTTGCACTTACACGGGATTTAATAATTAAATGACTGTTTGGGGTTACTTTCAGATTAAATATTTATCAGAAATTGTACTTGTACTTTAAAAAGATCATATCTTGTAGAAAAAATGTAATCAAACACCAAGAAAATGAATATGTAACAAATAATTGTTAAAAGGAATGCACATCATTTCATTATAGATATCACAAAAATGTACACACGATCAAACGATCTACAACACGTACATCTTTGACTTCATTTCATCAAGATATTACACTATATAGCTGGCAACTAAAGATTTCTTACGATTTATGCATTTCTTCAAAATGGTTACATTCCATTCAAATAATTATGAAAATTTTATGTTCATTGTAATTTCATTACATTAGATAGTCTTAGTTTGTCAACTTCAGGTCTAGATCTAGTAAAATAAAAGGTGCCTACATATTTTCTCTTTTTCCAGAAATCTATTGCCATTTTGATTTATAAACCAAAAAATTTATGAATTGAATTAAGATTATGTAGGCATGATTGAATTCTGTGGATTTCAAAATTCAGTATTTTCTACCGTTTTATTGAAGCTGTCAATGACGTACAGGAAAAAGTGGCATTGAATTAATTATGACGTCTTACTGGGTAAGCACAGGTTTACACATTTATTTGTTACATGTATGATGTCATACGAAGTAGGTTCTACGTTAAAAGAAATGTAATGAATACTGTGTGCTAAAACAAAACTTTATATCTACATGTATAGTTTTTGCAATAGAATGGCTGTGTATTTAACACTAGCCCATAGCTTTACAGAGCATATTTTTAGGTCTTATACTTACCCCACCGCTTGAATCATGTATATTATGATATGATAGTACTTGTGTGAAGGCTTAACTTCATTTCAATATTTTATCTAGAGCCTCTTTCAGAATTATAAAAAGGTAAAGAGTTTTATTTATATATTTTTTTTTTTTTTGCTTTTCATTTATTTATTTATTTTTTTTTTTTTTGATTTAGCGTAGTGTTCTTTTTTTGGGGGGGGGGAGGTAAAAAAATTCCTCCTCTTTCATTGTCAAATATGATTTGCCGAACTTTAAAAAAAAAACTAAGAGTTGAAATTATGGAAAATTTAATTTTTCCTATGAAAGAGTATTTAAACCTGATTTTTGCATGGTCTGATTTCTAAAAACAAGTGGAATATCATTTTTAAGCAAAATCTATAAGGAGGAATATTGAAATAAAATTTTATTTACTTGACAATTAAAGAATCTCTTTTCAAACACAATTTTAGCATCGAAAGACTACGTAAACTCTTAATTATTTCATACGACTTTTTGTATTTTCCTGGTTCATAAAATGTAAAAATTAGTTTCGCTGTATAAAAGATATCAAAGAGGGTATACTTTGTATCACTTTAAAGGGGGTCATTTTTCAATGGGGGTCATTATTTTATATGACTAACATATAATATAATGACCCCCTAGGACCCTTTTTCTACAAAAAATGAATTTTTTCTACGGGTGGGGGTCATTTTTTGTCGTTGAAAAATGACCCCCCGGTCATTATTCTATGGGGGTCATTATTCGTCTTTACACCGGCAATACTACCTTGAAAATAAGAAATATGCAGCATTAATTTAATTTTACACAATAAGTATGAAATGATGATTTGATTATGAAAGCCGTATGATGCATGCTTTTGGAGATAATTAGTATAGATCTACAAAGTTATCTGTCTTTGATTTAAGACTACTACATGTCTGAATTATATTCAAACACTACATATCCACAACCATATATCTAAATAGCATAATACCATTCAAATTTAAGATGAAGTTCAAAATTTAAATCACTTTGATGATCTTTAAAATATAACTGCATCTTTGCAAGTTAAAGAGGAGGAAAATGTGAACAATTTTTCAAAATGCTACTCCCCCTACAGTTTTGGACAGATATAAATATAACTTGGCACATAAGTAGACTGCACTTAGATACATAATTCTATGCATCGTTTTTTTTCTTATTTCGATGAATGGTGTTACCATGGTTACTAAAAATAGATTTTTTTTTTGAAATTCTGTCAAAAAGCTAGTACTCCTACAGTTTTGGACAGGTTTAATTTAACTTGGCACACAATTTGTGTACACTTAGATACATATTTCTGTGCATCGTTTTTTGATTTCGATAAAAATCGATGCCATGGTTACTAAAAAAACAGTAAAATTCTTTTAAAATGCTACTCCTCCTACAGTATTGGTCCGATTTCAATACAATTTGGAACAGCCAAGAAGACAACACCAAGATACATTCTTCTTTGTATCGGTTTTCGATTTATTGAACGGTGTTGCCTTGGTTACAAAAAAAAAATCTGTGAAATGCTTTCAAAATGCTACTCCTCCTAAATTTTTAATCCGATTTTAATATAACTTGGCACAAAAGTAGACAATACTAAGATATATAATACTGTGCATATGTTTTATTATAATGAGCGGCAAGGATCATTTTTCTTTTATCATTTTCATTTTTATTCCTTTGTTTTAAGTATAAACACTACAGTCTCGACAAAGAATTATGGTTTACATAACGAATGAGGGGTCAGTTAATAATTTTATCTACGTCCTGTTTTATATTGGGACAAAAAAAATGCCACTACCCCTATACTATCTACAGGTGAGGTGATTTATCTCTTTCTATTATCAGTTACACTGTTACAACGTCTCAGAACAAAAAAGTCCCACATTTACATTTTCTAAAATCAATATGTTTATTTTATCTTGGTTATGAATTTCAAGACACGATACCAAAATTGCTATCTCAAAGGTATAACCATATTTGTAATCAGATAAGTTTTAAACTGAAATAATAGTTTTAATGTTTATGTATTTTAGTGAATGGTAAAATTTCTACATATTTACAAGACATGAGGTTTAGTAATTAAAAGCTGGTCTTTCTGCCAAATTCTTTTTTAACCTGATTTACTTTCCTTAGACCAAAACCCTACAGAATAATTCAAAACTTTTTTCACTAACATATTTTTCACGTGTTTTAAATTTATACACAAATTGTGCATTATGTTACATTGGAAACATGGTAAATGAAAAAAAATCGATAACAGTTACTTATTAAAATACATTCTTATATTTTCTTTCCAATAACTTACCCCCAGGAAGACAGGAAAAGTATAAAAAACGAAGATGCAGAAAATTAAATAATAATTTGTCAGATTCCATTGAATTCATTTAGAACTCATCGTAATTCGTTGTACATTTCTGCAAATTGTTAAGAAAACACCAACCACACTTTCCACAGCAAAATCAATAGAGATTTCGATATTGATGATATTTGAAATTCCTTTTAAATGACGTAGATATATCGTTTATTTACTAGCAACAAACTACGGGGAATACCGAACCCTATCACAACGATCAACAGATCATGATAAGAATATGCAATATCTTCATATGCTCTTTTTGATTAGCATGTACGCTTATAAAACTTTTAGTACTTACTATCTATTAAACAAACATTTGTATATATGCTTAGATTGTGGATTTTAATTTTCCTCTTTTTTTTACATTTCCTAAATGTATATCTATTAAAATTAACATTGTAACAATATTTTAAGACTCTGTAGAAACAAAATGTATGGTGGCATATCCCCCCACATTCAAAATAAAGTATGTTAACATGCAAGATTATTATGTAGACATGAAACATAATTATGTCAACATGCAAACTTTTCATGTTGACATGCAACTACCAATCATATAAGAAAATATAATTTAAATCCGGGTAAATCATCTTCCCAACACCGGTATCTACATAAACGTAATTGCCCTACACTTGTTGTGTTATAACTTTGTATATTGTGTTATATTTTATCGACTTTTCAACACATAAAGTGTTAAACCTCCTTTATTATACACAGATTTGAATTGTATTAAGACTTTTTAACATAACTAAAGGCAACTTCTTTTATTCATTAAATTTTTTGCTTTAAGTTTTATCGAATGAAATATTATATCAATTTTCAGATATCGACCGAAACAAGATATTTAATCATGTAATCATGTCAATGTAGTATTGTCGATATGAAAAAATAAATATATAGCTATATTGATATAAATATCTGAATATTTTCGAGAAGAAATCAGAAAAAAATTGTTTTTGAATTAATTTGGCGGGGCGGGAACATTCTGATGAATCTTCACTTCACTCGGGAAAGTTTATGTACCATGTATTTGCTATCGATTAAAAGCTGAAACAAATTCAGAAATATTTGAAAAATGGTAATGAGCTGGATGAGGGCCACAAAGATACTCTTGCCTTCCCCTCTTCAAAAGTGGTGTCCGGTGTATTAGCCCCCTATAAATCTAAACTTCTACGTATCTCCATTTCCCTTTTTTCAATATATATACAGGTTGTATTTTTAATTTGATTCAGCCTTCAATCGTATACGCATGCAAAAACATGATACATAAGTATTCACTAAACCCCGAATGAAGTTTTCGAAGGTTCATTAGAATTCCCGCCTCCGCCAAGTTAATTCAAAACACTTTATTCTGACTTCTTTATCGCAAATATTCATAAATCAAAATCGACATTAACTATATCTTTATCTATTCATATCAACAATACTAAATCAATATGATTAAATATCATTTTTGATCAATATTTGAAAATCAATATATTGTTTCAGTCGATAAAACTTAAAGTTATAAATCCATTGAACAAAAAAAGTTGCCTTCAAATATGTTGAAAAGTCTTAATACAATTCAAAAATGTGTATAAATAAGGAGGTATAACACTTTCTATGCTGATAAATCGATAAAAATATGAGACAATTTACAAAGTTGTAACACAACAAGACTTAGTGAAGAGCTATTTACGCATCCATAGGTATCTGACATCGTGGATGCAATATGCAGTATAATATGTCAACATGCAACATTATTATGTAGACAGGCTACTTATTTATGTTAACATGCAAGATGATTCTATCAACATGCAACATATTGATGTTAACATGCAAGTTTATTATGTTCACATACATTTTACTTTTGTCAACATGCAACTTACATGTACTTAGGTCAACATGCGAGTTATATTTTAGCAATCAAGATATTTATGTCAACATGCAATTTGATAAGTTGCTTTTTAAAATAAATACTCGTGAATATCAGTGATATGGTTGAGGATAGACAGCAATTTCTCAGAAACCAATTTATCATCTCCTTTGCCAGATGCTGCAAACCAGTATACAGTTGTATGTGGATTGAAACAGACCAGGACCAATCACCCATTTGGTTGTACTTCTTTTTCTTTCTAACAGCCTTCAACATTTTAAAAACGCAAAACACAAGCACATTCATTAAATGATAATTATAAATAGCTGTTCAGTTAAATAAATGCATTATGAATTGTATAAAATGATAGTTTATCATGTAAACTTAGTCTTTCTTTGGCAATTTTCCACACATCAAACCAATGGTTGATATCTCTTCTTTCTTTTTTCATGTAAGCTTTAATCTGGGGATGTCTGTCAGTAACAATGTCACTTATAACGACACCCTCCTCTTCTTCATATCATGAAAAACATCGTTCTTACATACAGTAAGATATAATTGATGGTAACACACAGCAGACGTTCATGTACATACTATAAAATTTACAACAATCAATCATACTAACATACTTACAATCATTTGCGTTATATATGCTGTAAACAACCATATTTACTACAAAATACGAAACTTACGCTAATATACACGACATGACTTTCATACTTTCTACATTATTAAAAACGACAATTACACTGTAACCTGCGGTAACATAAACTGTACATTATAAACAACCATACTTACATGTATGGTAAGAAACGAAACTTGCGGTTACATAAACGGTACATTCTAAACAAACATACTTACATATATGGTAAGATACGAAAGTCCACTAATCACTTTGAAGTTCATATCGTGCTAATAATCTTTGATATATATTTTAAGCTAGATTAAAGGAAATGTGATTTCTTTCAATGTGTAATTTCTTAAACACGTCTATGGGGTACAAATGTCAAGTTTTTCCAAGACTGATTCTGAAACTTCAATTAACCTTGAGGCACATTGAGATTCATTGAATAAAAATTGCTACTTGAAAAGATTTTATTTAAAGCTTTATTTTGAAACTTTTTGAAATAATAAGAAATTGAAGTGTTATCCTTCTTGACTGAGGAATAGATATCAAAAAAAATATTGGGTGGTGCTTTCTGATGGAGAAGTCGCTAAAGTAAAGCGTCTTCACAAAGCAAGTTAACTGATAACTGCCTTTTATCTTCTGTATCCAATTGGTGTAAGGTAATCTTGTCCAAAATGCAGAGGTTGTCTATTACTTTGTGTTCTTGATGGTTCAAAAGGTTGTTTTACGTGACCAGTCTTATTTTGTAGTTTTTCGTAGTTTACCATAGCTGTGGAAGAAAGAACAACACAAAATTAATGCTATTCTTTTGAGCTGTTTGATATGCTTAATGTATGGCGCCTTTTTGAAAATAAAAACAGATATATGCAGTGACATCTCAGAAGGAGAAAAAGCTGTCTTATAGTTCTATTTTATAAAATGCAAAGATTCATTTTATTGTTTTAATTAATCTTCAGTGAAATACAATCTATTTCTGAGAATCCACAAATTATGCATTTTTTTCATTATTGATGGTCCCGTGAAAACACATGAAGCCTTTATTTGTATGAATTTAAATGCCACGAATGTTCTTAAAATATAGGAGAATTTTGTACATTGTCGACTTATACGGATTTTTTATCCAAATCAATATTCCGTATCTTGTTTAAAATATGTATTGTTTGAATTATTTATAAACTCCATAATTATAATTAATAAATTTTAGCTTCCATACAAAGGTATCTTTTAGCTGAAAAAAGAAGCAGTTTCCATATCAGATAATTATTCAATTGATTTAAAAATAAATTATCATTTCCTTTTTTAAAAATAAAAATGGATGAAATGTCATTATTCATAAGTCTTTAAGAAGATCTATATCGAGATTAACCTCCAAATTTACACTAATATGAATCAAGCATAATATTTTATGCTTTCACGGAGAAACAAATCAAAAATGGAATCAAAGTTCTGAACACTCTCAACAATTTCAGGAGGAAAAGAGCTTAACTTTACCTTTCAAAGAGAGGAGAACCAGAAATGAACAAATGCATGTCAATCAAAATACAAAGAAATTGAAAATTGGTATGATTTTCACTTGTTCGTTTAATCAGAGGCCTGTACAGCCGAGCGAACGTTCGCAAGCGCTCGTCGATATACGGAATTTTGGCGAGCGCTCGCGAACGTTAGCTCTGCTGAAGAGGCCTCTTGTAAACTCTTTTTGAGTCCAAATCCATGCAGATTCATGACTTTGTAACGGTTTTTTTTTAAGTGTTTATAATATTATATAAGTCAGTCGTTTCCATTAAATTGCAATTTACATATACATATACTGTACATGTATTACTAAACAACGTAGTTTATTTCTTTATCCTTGTTTGATACGTTCAAAAATTAAACACACCTGTAGGGGCTGAAAGTTTTTCATATCTGTGTTCTTCTTTCCCGTGTTTCAGTTCTTCATATGTTGTACTGAATAATCCAGATATAAACGTTTTAAACGTTGCCTTTTCATTTTCATTTTCGTTTATTTTTTATTCCAAATCATCACTAAACATATTTTTTTCAAAAATTTCTTACCCGTATGATCCATTATCTGAAGAAAGATGAGAGGCGTTAAATTGATTAAATTTCATGATTATAATTACTTGTTAATAGAATGTCAATGTGTCTTTTGAAAAAGAAAATATTATCTTGATATATCTATATGTTTTACAAAATGTCCTTACTCATTGGCGGTTTAATGACGTCATATCCGTTTTCCTGATCCCGACGAATCTGTGTCAGCTCTTCATATTGAGCTCTTAAAGAATTAATATAACGTTTATAAATATTCATATTTTACGTGTCAATCGGTAACCTTACTATAATGATAAAATTTGATTTAACAAGGTAAAAATCACAGAGATGCATACACTCGTAGCACTCGTAGCACAAGAATAATTTGTTTCAATGTGATTTTATAAGCATTTTATATTGTTATTTATCAAAACTGTGACAGCTCTTTGCATTGACAATGAAAATGTTTTCAAAAAAAAAACAGAAACTAAACTTGTCCTGCCAGTGGGTTTGGATAAGCTTATCTAAAAATATTGTGTCCTTTTCTTTAGAAAAAATATCGGTCTACCTCATACTGGTATTTCAGCTTTTGGCTTCAAAAATTACCACTTAAACTACATGTTTACATGTACCTCTAATCTTATTATTGGCATCCTCTTAGAATAGTTTCTTGATTGCTTTGAATATATTTTTTGTTATAGTTTCTTACATGTTACAAATGCATATTGATGTCAACCTTCTATTCGCAGTGCTTATTAGACCTTATTTACATCTATTACTTTATTTTCTTCTTATGATAAAGCATACGTTACCTCCTCTCTGTTTCAAGCCCTGTAAATTCAGGAAAATTTCATGAAACAAATTTTTTTCAAAGGTTATAAAAATAAAAAATCATTTAGAGTGATTTAATGCTTACTTTGTGTGCCACAGATAGTGTTTAACTCTTCCATTTTTCTGTTACTGTGAAATAAACATAATCGATCACATTAAAAGAATACAAACACATGAATGCTATTTTATGATTAATAAGAAATTGTTTTACTGAGGTCCTTTATTTTACAATGCCTTATTTTGTCATTTGGTTTACAAATGCGTACTATTAATTAATTCCGTGTTCTCATTTTTAAGCTTTCGCCTAAAGGTTTATGTACAAGTAGGAGTAGGCCTCAATTCCTGAAAAGTAATGGATCCTAGTTCCAATTTAGTTGCATTTGATTTTGTGAATAGTAAAAAGGATTAAAATTTATATATTAAAAATTTGTAAAAAAGTGTGAATTTATTATTTTTTTCCACGGTTGTTTATCAAATCAACTCTCCTATGTATTTCATTGAAAAGTGGAAATTTATTTCATTCGTAAATAAATCATTGAAATACTTAATTCAAGGAAAAGAAAATTATTATTATTATTATTATATATGAAATCTTGTAACTTTTACTGAAATTATTTAGCAAAATCAAATTTTGATAGATGAAGACATTATTATGAAGTGCGTAGAATTGGCCTCAGTTGTAAAACTTGTATTTTGAGATTAATATAAACATTAAACATCCTTTGAAAGCTTAAGGGACCTGTCCTAATACTAGAGCTTAAAACCTATTTGGAATTTAAAATTCCTTTCTCCTTGTCTGAAATCTATTGTTTATAATAGTCAAATTGCGCTCCGTTATTAGCAGACTTATTTTTATATTCATATGAAGTAGAGTTTATGCAAAATCTTTTACGTGAAAAGAAGAAAACACTTGCTGTGGCCTTCAACTCGACATTTAGATATATCGACGACGTATTGTCAATTAATAATGATAATTTCAATTCCTACGTCGACACGATATATCCTGGTGAGCTTGAGATAAAAGATACCACCGAGTCCGACACTTCTGCTTCATACTTGGATATTTTACTTGAAAAAGACACTAATGGTAATCTAACAACCAACTTGAAGCTATATGATAAACGTGATGACTTTAACTTTTCTATCGTAAACTTCCCTTACTTATGCAGCAATATACCTTCATCACCTGCATACGGAGTATTTATATCTCAGTTGATTCGATATGCTAGAGCATGCTCTACGTATGAATAATTTCTTAAACGAGGTAAATTATTGACAAGCAAGTTGATGAAACAAGAATATCAACAGTACTATTCTCGTTTAAAGTCATCATTTCGTAAAGGATGTATTCGCTTTAACAAAAGAATTGACCTATAGGAGAGAACAATTTCCCGGAAAAAACGACATTTAAAAATCAATCTTTATTTGTTGTTTTCTACCGTATATATGTCTAAATTTTTCAAATTTGTATTTGATACCTCAAATTTATTATTTACAACTTAACAATAAACCTCCAAAGTTGACCAAAACACCATTTTGTCCATAAAAGCATTGATTTTTGCATGAATTTTGGCCTTGAAGTCCTTCAGGGCAGGCCTGCCCCTAAGTAAAATTGCGATATTTTGATAGGTTATGATATAAGAAATAAATTAAGATAAGATATTTTTAGGGGCACCCCTGCCCTGGGGTCGAAATTCTCAAAAAACCTACAAAAAATAAGGAAATCTGATTTTCATCATCTGCTTTAAATTTATGCCCATCATTCTTATAGTCAGACTAGCTCAGTTGATAAAAGCGCCGACTATAACACCTATGGATACTTTCTTTTTAAAGTCGGGGGTTCGAATCCACCTGGTACAATACTTTTAAACTTTAAAATTTCGCCTTTTTAAAGACTATTTAGATTTTTTGTATAGATTTGTGAATTTTCCCTTTAATTATCTATCCTTTATGCATGTCCATTCTTGATAAATAAGAAACACTAAAGGGATATCAAATCGTAAAAATCCAATGTACAGCACGTTGTCAGTCAGGCGGAACGAACCTCCTAACAAGCACGCTTTCTTCGAGGACAAGAATAACTCACTATGTGTTACTCATTACAGGTATTCTTGGCAGCACTGAGCTGCAATGAATTTCAATTGTATATATTCCTTATTCATTAAATCACATTGGTTTTGGCTGCATATTTCAGTAAATGCACTCCCTTTTATTTCATTTAGGCCTTTATAATTTGCACACTTTAATGACGTTTTATTATATCCACGAACATGAAGAACAGCATTTCAGAGACAGTAGACACTACCTTTATGAAACATGAGAAGTAAAGACAAATATCAATTAGTGCATATGAAGAAAACAAACTCAGAAAATCTATAAAAGGGTTCCTCCTGCCTCTACTAACTGAAATGAAAATTTAGGAAAAACAAATTATTATATGTATTTAGCCTAATGTCATTAATCAGAGCGGAAATCGACGTAAATCGACAAGCTTTTTGTAGAGAAAAAACCAAGCCCGGTCCTATAGGTCAGTTCCCTATTTATAATGAAGTGATCCTTCTATGGTCGATACAATGACCTTGTCAGCAAATACAATTTATCATTGAATGATCCTCCATGGCACCTGATCCCACCTTTGATGTTTCGGAGGTCCGTGTTTGCTCTGCTCTTATTTTGTATATTTGTTTAATGGACGTTGAGATTGAATACTGTTCGTTATTTCCATATCATTCTTCAGAACAGTTTTGACTAAATATTCCATGTTTTGTTACCGCTCTTACCTTGAATTTTGTTTTCTTTCTGAAAGTAAGATTTTCCAAACATTATTCTAAAATGATTGCCTACGGTAATTTAATAGAATAAAAATCAAGATTACTTATAATTTAAACGAAATACTTACCAACACATAAAATTTGGTATCTTCTGTTAAAGATCAAAAGAGCAACAAGTACAACTAAAACAACTCCTCCAATTGTCCCACCAGCGATGATTTCTAATTTTGATTGTGGTGTATCAAATTCAAAACAGAAAATACCAATCATAAATGATAAGAAAACTTTACAAGTTTTTGTAAACATTTCAACCATTAAATATGAAATTCGAAAAAAGGGTAAACTGCAATATAAAAGCTATAAATCCAAGATATCTTTATGAAAAATATTGTTAGATAGCAATGTAATGTTTGCGGACTTCAGTTAAAAGATAGCAAACATGATAAGACAGCATTTGACATCAAACTCAATGCCAATTACGTCACTCATAAGTTACGTAAAATGCAAGGATTGCATAACTATATCCCCTCCAATTCCTTTGCGATAGGGTGAAAATCTTAATATGCAATGGTCTATGTAAAATTGCTCTATTGTAGTCCCGAATTCATTTTACGTCGACATAAGTACTGTTAATATGTTTAATAAGTATAAAAACGATGAAAGTATTTGTAATTTCATTTTTTAAATTTGAAATTTGAAATCAAATAAAAATTTTAGTAAATTCGGACTCTAGACACGTGGAATATTACAATGGAACCCCCCCCCCAACTCAAAAAAAAATTAAATAAATTAATATGCTAAAATAATGGGTGCGAGTATAAAATGCAGAAAAAAAAATTTAACTTGCTTACTTTATACAAAATTACAAGCCGTACAAGGATCCTGGTATGCATCTGAGTATAATACACGACTATTAATCATTGTTTGTTTGTTTTTTGTGCCTCTCAAGAATTAGTAAGGTATGTTATCAAGGAGTTCCCAGAGGTATAGAATAAAACATAGTTAATTGGTCAATAAAGTTTGTTGCAAGAGAAACAGGAGACTGTGTAAAACAATACAGTTTTTCATAAGCACTACTGTAAACTCCAACAACAGATTTTCCTGAACCTACATGGTCTTGTACGAATATTCAATGAAATAATAGAACGGTGTTATTATTTATCTATTTTGTTAATCGGTCTAACTGTATAAAAAACATCGAAAGAACTTAATATATTATTTATTTTTGAAATTTTGTACTTTTCTGTTGTTTTTTTTTTTATTTACATCGATTGTTTAGCACAAGTGGCAAATGCAAGTTAAGAAGAATCACAGCTGAAAGGTTAATAGGGATAAATTCTCTCGGTAGATCATTAAAACATTGTCGATGATGTATTTTTGAAAATAATTATATTATTCTATATGTAAGAATGCTTGCATACTAAAATATTACCGCTCCTTTCCTGTGTTGTGAATGTTTCAGAAGATGCAGTTGTATCGATAGTATGCGAAGCAATCGGCGTAGTAGTTGGGGTATGCGAAGGAATCCGCGTAGTAGTTGGGGTAGTGGTTGTTGTAGATTTCACTATCCACATAGAAACGAAAAGAAGTTTTTAGATAATAAGTTTTTTTAAAAAAACAAACATTAAACCCAGGTTTGACGGGATAAAGGTGATTTTTAAAAAGTTTAAGTTAAAATCTTTGAGTTTCTAATAAGGCTCTTAAATTATATGCAATCTCTTGATTATTAATATAAAAAAAATGATAAAACCCAATGTATTCTTAAAGGTAGCAATAGCACAAACGAGAAAAATAATGTTACTCTTTGAATATGAGACTTTTTTGACATCAACTATTATTTCAAAGGATAACAGTGTAAATGAAACAATCCCTTACCAACTTGTAAAATTTGGTCTCTAGATGCATTAAAAAAATTTCCATTGAATCCATTGAATGCAGTACAAGTATAAGTCCCTGTATCAGTTTCCTGAAGATTGGTCAGAGTCAATGTTCCTTTAATGGATGATAGTTCTGTAACATTGTCATTGGGACTGGCTTTAAACGTCCATTGATATCTGTTAACAGTCTTATTTGGGTGGATTCCAGGTGTTGGATTACCATCAGCTTGACAGGTGAAGGTCAGGGAGGAGCCAACGGAATACTGAGAGTCAGCACCAGTGTCTGGAAGCTTCCTTATGATGGGAACATTGACCTTAACTATAATTATAGAAAAATACTGAGAGTTAACACCCGTAGTCTGTGCGACTACCTAATTCTAGTAACTGCGAACTTAAACACACAAAAGGACTTCAATTTCTGTAAATTATAATTTACATATTTAATTAGAAAAAAACGCTTCGTTGTATACATTTTGCTTCATGTAAGCTACTAAATGCAGGGGGTAGAGATACATTTATTTTCGCCCCATGTCATTTTGACCCTATTTCTTTTGTCCGGTTTAAATACGTCCAGTAACAGTTCCGGTTAATAAATTATACTGTCATCCTGTTGTAAATTTGCCCACTTGTGTATATATGATGAAAGGGGTATTTAATGAAATGGGGCGAAAATAAAACAGGGGCGAAATTTTCCTGTACACAGTATTTTATTATTTTATTGTATTAGTATATAAATATTCATGTCTGCTATTGACCTATCAGTTCTAGTTACACATGACATGAACACAAAGATAAACTTACAGAATACATTAACCCTTTTAGATTCTTGATTAGGTTTGTCTCGGTCTGGCATTGTTAACAGTTCATTGTCCACGAAACATCTCCACACCGACTGATCATCATCCTTCGTCATCCTGTATGTTACCGTGCTGGTTACGTTGTAGACACACATACCTTCCTGAAGCGGTGGGGTGGTGGAAGACACTCCTGTCATTTCCTGTGGAGCTCTTATACCATGCCTATAGCGCCACCACCTGATTTGTCCTGGAGGTTTTCCAACATTGGCTGTACAGGACAAAGTCACATCCATGGTCTCTTCTATATTGTCTGGTACAGGAACTGGAATGTCATAAGGCTGCTCAGCTGGTGCTGTAAATATATGTTTTCAGGGATTTACAGATACCTGTTTGTTATTTAAACATTCATTTTATTTACATTCAAGAGATTGTTCGTGGTGTTAAGGTAGAATCTATGTCGGAAAAGTCTTTGTTACAAGATTATCAAACTTTTCAAAATGATAAATTAGCACTCGCTTATCAATCAGCCAAAAGCCCATGACATGTATCCCTGTTAAATGTAGTGCAGCCAGCGAAACATGGAATGATATTTACATACAGCAACTACACATTTTCAGTAAGTTCTAGGGGTTCTTACCATAAAGAGAATGTGAAAAATCTCATAAATACTAATTCAAAGATCGTGTTCGTTGACTTTATAAACTAAACAATATTGAACAGTTTTTCTCAATGATAAACTCTTTTTTATTCTATCAACATAAAAGGTAAGTCCACATTTAAGAAATTATTATGTGTATAAACTCTATTATTGTTAGTCAATTTTATACCTTAAATTTGTCAATACTTTCATAAGTCTTTGTAACAATGTTTTCAAACTTAAATATGATGAAGAACACACCAAAATAATTATTAAAACTGAATAACATATATACCTTTTTCTTCTACCTAATAAGAGATAGGTAATTTACCGATGTTAATATTCTTGACCTTTTTGGACTTACACGGGATTTGATTATTAAATGATTGTTGGGAATAATGAAAGCATAAAAGGTATATCGATTTATGGGAAAGAAAATAAAGTAGGAAAATATGTAGACGACTCTTTTTTAACATTAGATGGAAGTGAAAAGTCTTTGAGAGAATCAATAATAATAATCAAAAAATTTGGAAATGCTTCTGGTTTGAAGCTTAATATTTCAAATTCTTAAGCAGTATGGTTCGGAAGCAAGGCAAGATCAAAACAAACTCTATTTGATGACTTAAAAATTAATTGGAGTGCTGATACCTTTAAGCTCGTAAGAATAATTTTCACCAAAAACTTAGAAAATATGGTGTCTGTCAATTATCGACCAAAAATAAATTCTATCAAAAAATTGCTTGCATCATGGGCAAAAAGATATTTGACTCCAATAGGAAAGATTACAGTCATTAAAACCCTCAAACTCTCCCGAACCCATCAAAGGAATTACTTAATGAGATCAAAAAAATTTTATTTTAATTCATTTTGGCATACAAGGTGGAAAAAGTAAAAAGAAATACATTGATAGGAGAAATTGAAGAAGGTGGACTAAACATGATTCATTTATCCTCCTTTATTTCATATATAAAACTGCTGGGTAATATTTAAGGAAGTTGTTTAGAAAATTTTCTCATCTTGTTAAGAAGAAAGTATTTGTATTACTCAAGAACTAAATGTACTTAGCCTATATTATAGAAGCTGTTAACATTTTTAAGTATTACAGAAAAATTGAAAAATATTGTGAGAGCAATTTTCATTTTAGAACTAAAATGTGTAGTAAATGGGCAATGTTTGATTTGTCATACATAATTTCAATTATCACTTAAGATGTTATTATGAAAGCTGGTATTTTTGGAAAGGTCACAGAGTGCGTGTGGTGTGAGAGGGTGTGTTTGTGTGTGTATTTTGTTTCTTTTGTAAGTAAGAAAATATTAAAAAATAAAGCATTTAACAAAAAATTAAATGACTGTTGGAGGTTACTTTTAGATTAAAATTGTTTATCTAAATCTGTTTGTTTTATTTAAAAAGATCATATTCAATAGAAAATTGTAATCAAACACCAAGAATATGAATTATTAACAAATAATTATGAAAATGAATGCATATCATTTCAAGACAGATATCACAAAAATGTATACACGATCACACAATCTAAAACACTAAGATCTTTGACTTAGACACATTTCATTAAGATATTACACTATTCGGTTGACAGCTGAAAATTTCTTAGAATTTTTGCATTCCTTCAAAAAACTTACATACAATTCACATTTTTTATAGTAAATTGTAATTAAACCGTGTACATTGTAATTTTATTACACAAGATATAATCTTGGATTCGTAAACTTCATTAAGGCCAAGATTTAGTAAATGAAAGGTGCATAAAAGTTTCTCTAATCCCACAAATATATAGTCATTGAGCAATGTAACCAAAAATATATGCATATATGTATATTGAATTAAGATTATTTTGGCATGGTTTTAAATTGAATTCTGTGAATTTCCAAATGCAGTATTTTCTACCATTTCTATTGAAGCTGTAAAGAACGGGAAAAAGTGACATTGAATTAATTATGACGTCACAATGGATCTTCTAATTCACTAGTTATGATGTCATACTACGAAGGTTCTACCTTAATACAATTTAAGCTGAATATATATGGCCCATCTATATGACACTTTTCGAACATAAGTACCATTCACGGTAGCTCAGTCGGTACAGCGCTCGCTCCGTGATCGGGAGGTCGTGAGTTCGTATCTCGGCTGTGACTGACCTAGTCGTTAAAATGGGTAGCAACTGTTCCTTCGCCATGCACTCGGCACTTTGAAGTGAAAGTTGCGGGTCCTTCGGTTGAGACCTCAAAAACCAAGGCCCCGTGTCAGCGGCAGGCGTTGGCACGATAAAGATCCCTCACTGCTCAATGGCCCTGAGTGCCGAGTAAAGATCAAAATTTGATGCCCTCCACCAGCATACGGTAACGTCTCCATATGAGTGAAAAATTCTCTAGAAGGACGTTAAACAATACACAATCATTCAATCAATCGAACTTAAGTAACGCATTTAAATAACAGTCCTTTAGATATACCAAAATACTTACCTCTAACTGTGAGAGATGATTCTTTTGTCTCAGTTATTGAACCTGATCCAGCGTTAATAAATAGAACAGAGCATCTATAATGTTTCTCGTCTGAACACATCACCTCGTTTACTCTCATCACAACAACATAAGAATAAGCTCCAATAGCTGTTACATTGAATAATTCAGATCGATTCTTATAATCATCGGCAAAGTCTGTAAAGGAATTAGAATCACTTCTACCAGGGGGAGAAAAAGAGGCAATGTTTGTAAAATCCTCTGGTCCTGATCCTGTTTTAACTTGCCAGGAAATAGATCCCGGATAGACTGTGTCACCGGAGCCTAGAGTATATGTACAGCTGAAGTCAACAGAGCCTCCAATAGTGGGCGTGAGAGAGCCAGCTGTGGAAACTGTTCCTGCAATACTACCTTAAATAAAAGAAATATGCATCATCAATTCAATTTTAACAATAAGTGAAGTGATGATTTAATTGCATCAACCTTATAGTGCATGCTATTGGAGACAATTACTTTATATCTACAAAATTAGTTTCTTTGATGTAAGGCTATTACATGTTTGGTTATTATGTAAACACTACATATCCACAACAATATATCTGAATAGGATAATACCATTCAAATTTAAGATGAACTTCAAACTTTAAATCACTACGGTGATCTTTAAAATATCACTGAATATAGCTTCATCTGGGAAGATAAAGAGGAGGAAATATGTCGGCAAGTGTAAAATGCGAATATCATATGGATCAAAATGATTCTTTTTAAGGTATAATTGAAATATTTGAATAGCTTTGTTGTAACGAGTGGTGATGGTGCAGTTCTGCATCTGAAACTTTCCTTGGTACTATTGCATCGTAATACAATGTATTAAGTTTTAAATATGTTATTTTTCTTTGAATGAAAGACTAAGTTTTAATTATACAAAAGCGTATGCTGTGTTACAACGCAAAATGTAATTTTACCAATGCAAAAATACTGTAAACTTGGATTATTGATTTTTCGTTATAACATTTTGTGCCGACATCAGCACCTTTTTCGGATAAAACATATAACGCATTGCAAAATTTTCTGCCGAGATCAAGCAAGATTTAAACAATTAATTTTGGTTAGTCAAGGTAAGAGTAATTCTAAAAATGAGTATTTATGAAGAAAAACCCCGGAAAAATTAAACAAAAAGAAAATGCATTGAAAATAGTAGCTTATAATTTACCTTAAGGTTTAAGAGTCGAGTGAGCTGTCATTGGGTGTTTTAACAGGAATATATATCAATTTTACGTGTATGTATTTAGTAAATTTTTTTACATTAGGAAAATGAAAAATCGGTCGATAATTTTATCTACTTCCTGTTATATTTACTGGGACATAAAATTGCCACTCCCCCTATATAATATCTACAGGTGAACTGAATTATCTCTTTATATTATCCATTACACTGTTACAACGTCTCAAAACAAAAAGTTCCACATTTACATTTTCTAAAACCAATTGGTTTATTTTACCTTGGTTATGAATTTCAAGACACGATACCGAAATTGCAATTTCATAGGTATAACCTTATTTGTGATCAGATAAGTTTTAAACTGAAAAAAAAATGATTTCATGTTTATGCAGTTTAGTGAATGGTAAAATTTCAACATATTTACAAGGCTTTATGGTTGGTTATTAAAAGCTGGTCATTTTGTCAATTTTTTTTTTAACCTAATTTACTTTCTTCAGAAAAAAAGAATCTACAGAATAATTCAAAATTTATACTACTAAAATATTTTTTCAGGTGTTTTATACACAACTTATCCAAGATGTTACATTGTAAACATGGTAAATATATATAAATATAAAAAACCATAAATTTTTATTAAAATACATTCTTATCATTTCTTTCAAATAACTTACCTCCAGGAAGAAAGGAAAGGTATAAAAAGCAAAGATACAAAAAAGTAAATAAAAATTTGTCAGATTCCATTGAATTCATTTTAAACTCATCGTAATTCGTTGTACATTTCTGCAAATTGTTCAATTTAAAACTCAAAGCACACTTTCCACAGCCAAATCAATAGAGATTTCGACATTGATGATATTTAGAATTCCTCTTCAATGACGTATATATATATCGATTATTCACTAGCAAAAAACTACGGGGAATACCGAACCCTATCACAACGATAAATAGATCATGATAAGAGTATGCACTATCTTCATATGCTCTTTTCGATTAGCATTATAAACTTTTAGTACTTACTATTTATAAAACAAACGTTTGCATATATACTTAGATTGTTGAGTTTAATTTCCCCCGTTTTAACTTTTCTTATATGTATATCCAATAACAAAATTAACATTGTAACAGTATTTAAGTCTCTACAGAAACAATTGTATGGTGGCATATTTCTGCCCTACTCCCTTCATTCATCATAAATTATGTTAACATGCAAGATCATAATGTAGACAAGCAACATTATTATGTCAACATGCAAGCTACTTATGTTGACATGCACTTACCAATCATATAAGAAAATATAATTTAAAAATGGGTAATTTCACTTACTACGCCAGTATCTGACATCGTGGATGCAATATGCAGCACAATATGTCAACATGCAACATAATTATATAGACATGTAACTTATTTATGTTGACATGCAAGATTATTGTGTTAACATGCAACTCATTTATGTTAACATGCAAAATTTTTATCTTAACATGCATCTTTTTTTGTCAACGTGCAACTTACTTATGTCAACATGGGAGTTATATTTTTACATTCAAAATATTTATGTCAACTTGCAATATGACAATATGATAAGATGCATTTCGACATTAATAACTATGGTGGCATATTTCTGCCCCTTGTGTGCAAGTTATTTTTCTATCAAATATGTCGACATGCAAGATAAATATGTTGACATGCAAGATAGTTATGTCAACATGCAACATGAATATGTTGACATGCAAGAAAATTGCAATCAAATAAGTTTTATGAAAAAATATTCAAAAATCTCAAATATCGCACACATGTGACATCCAACATGCTACATGCTACTTATTGATGTTAACATGCAAGATAAATATGTTGACATGCAACTTATTTATGTCGACATGCAACTTATTTATGTTCACATGCAACTTATTTATGTCGACATGCAACTTACATATGTTAACATGCAACTTATTTATGTCGACATGCAACTTATATATGTTAACATGAAACTTATTTATGTCGACATGCAACTTATATATGTTAACATGAAACTTATTTATGTCGACATGCAACTTGTTTATGTCGACATGCAACTTGGTTATGTTGACATGCAATATAAATATGTTGACATGCAACTTATAAGTTGCATGTCAACATAAATATGTCGCATGTTTACATAAATAAGTTGCATGTCAACATATTTATCTCGCATGTCAACATAACCAAGTTGCATGTCGACATAAACAAGTTGCATGTCGACATAAATAAGTTGCATGTTAACATATATAAGTTGCATGTCGACATAAATAAGTTGCATGTGAACATAAATAAGTTGCATGTCGACATAAATAAGTTGCATGTCAACATATTCATCTTGCATGTAAACATAAATAAGTAGCTTTTAGCATGTTGGATGTCACATGTAGGCGATATTTGAGATTTTTGAATATTTTTTCATAATACTTATTTGATTGCAATTTTCTTGCATGTCAACATATTCATGTTGCATGTTGACATAACTATCTTGCATGTCAACATATTTATCTTGCATGTCGACATATTTGATAGAAAAATAACTTGCACACAAGGGGCAGAAATATGCCACCATAAATAACTTACATGTTGATTTAAAGTAGTTGCATGTCTACAGGTCACCATGACCCTAGTGAAAATCAGTGATATGGTTGAGGATACACAGTCATTCCTCATAAACCATTTCACAATCTCTTTCACAAGACGCTGCACACCAGTACGGGTGGTTTGAAACTGATCGTGACCAATCATCCATTTGCTTGTACTTCTTTTTTCTTCCAATAACCTCCAAATTTTTAAACATACAAAATACAAATCAATTATTAAACGATAATTATGAATAGCTATTCGGTTAAATAAATGCATAATGAATCGTATAAATCAATAGTTTATCATGTAAACTTGGTTTGTTTTTGGTCATATGCCACACATGAAACCAGTGGTTGATATTTCTTCTTTCTTTCTCATGTAAGCTTTAATTTGGGATGATTGTCAGTAACGAGGTCCCAATAACCATAGCCTCCTCTTCCATTCTCTTGCTGCACCTTTTCAAACCCTTCATTTCCATCAAATATGAACTTGACTTCATGGATCTATAAAAAGTTAATCAAGCATATATTGTTTTGAGAACTCTAACCATGTTAACTCAATGCATCAACGGGAAAAATTTAAACATAACATATTCAGTGCTGAATATTGATATCAATATTTCTACTTTTGGGAAAGTGATATATGCGTGCTAATGCAGTAAGGTAAAATACAATAAACAGTGATATTGCAGTTGTCTTACCTGAACTAGTTGAACATCAAGTATCTGTCTCAGGTCCATCAAACTATATGATCCATATTTAGCTTGTCCCGTTGAACAACATCTATCATCTCCCCAACAACTACGGCTAGATTCTGTCTTTTACAGCAAATATTGCATCTTGATGTACTTTCCAAACCCTTTCAATATCTGGTACATGTTGGTTATTGTAACATGTTTGGGTACAACAGGATTTTGTACTGGGTTGAATCTCTGTCTGTACAGTTTCTAAAATTCATGAAGTAAAACCACAAGAAGACGTTTGTGCAGATTATTCTTTAATTTAAAAAATCATAACTTGATAAATTCAAATTTTCCACAGTACGAGGGCTGTTCAATAAATAATGTCCTGAACTGTATGACATACAATATATATCATATGACATTAAAATTGGCTTTTTCTCATAATTGAATCTTCAATGAATTTAAAAGGGTTCACGTGACCACTTTTCATCACATAGTTTCATTGTGAGAAGCTAGGAAACAGAGGCTTTTTGAGACACTGCATTATAAAAAAAAAATGGTAAAGAATCAGTAAACTAGAGTGAAAATAAAAACTTAATCAAAGCTGCTGTAAAGCTTGTTAAAAATCACAAAGAAATATTCACTGAAATATGTGACATTTACAGCAACCAATACCTGTTTTATAGACAATAAGCAGATGGATTTCAATGATGAAAAATTATATAATGGGCATCAAAACTGGGTACCGTCCCTGCCAACATAAAATTATAACACTTATGTACTGTTTGCAAAATTTCAACGAAAAATACTTGATGATGTAAATATAAGATTGACTTTAAGAAAAATAGCAAATTTGATAGACATCACATCGGGGGGAGTTTACACTGTTTCTAAAAAACGTTTGACGGTAAAAAAAGCTTAGTACTCAAAGATCCCCTATATTTTGAAATATGGGTGAAAACGACAGCGTGTATGAATGTCTTTACAATTATTTTAAAATATCAGTAATTGGAGTTATCCATGATTTTTTGGACATTCAAACAGATAATAGAACTTGAATCTTTTGCTTAAAATCCTCAAAACAAAATTTACCATAGGATGTACTTGACAAAAACAGCGAAGGTCTGACAAGAGTAAAGAATTGCAAGAGCACAAAGACAGATTTATATAGTAACAATGTTCTTAAATATTCGTGTTATTGTTGTTCAAATTCGTATTTCTGGATGAGGATAGAAAACATTTTTTTGCCAAGAAAATCGATAGGTTTATTAGAGAAAGGACCCAGAATCAGGAATCCACTACATTAAATTTCTTCATGACAGCGTCCAAACCCGCACGCCCTGAAGAGTAATGGGGTTTTCGGGATACACATATAGTTTATATTTTTTCACATTAACTATATTCACCAGATCTTTGACCTTTTGACTTATTTTTTTTCCAAAGTTGAAAAAAAACATCTTCGATAAGGAAGAAACAAGTCCTGGAAATCATTGGATCTGCAATTTTCCAGCATACCAAGGGTCACACCCAAAAATGAGTTTTAGAACCAATCAGAAATTGGATTAAAAAGGTTACGGACATGTGTTGCAATCAAAAGAGATTAATAAGTAAAATAATGAAGACAAAATCATTGAAAATTGTCTTTTGCTTCTTTCTGAGCACAGAGGAAATTATTTATTGAACAGCCCTAGTATGTTAATTACCTTGTTTTGGTACCTATGAAACATCTACATCTACTGTTTTCCTTTTTTTTTTGCTTTTAGTATTCAATGGACTGTACTCAAACATACAAGATTTGGCACCTTTAATTTTAATTGGAATCAACTGTACCCCATGCATCGCGCTCTTGAAGACTCAATAACATAGCAGTCGGGGGCAAACGTCACTCCCAAAGCTTTGAGTGTTTGAATGGCCAGTAATTTACAGTTTTGAGCTTTCTTACTCAAATATGGCATAACTTGTGACCTTTGGGAAAGACGACATAGATAAATGTCGGATATCACAGCTTGGCACAGCAAACAACACATTACACTTTATTTTATTTTTTTCATCTCCCATAGTCTGAATCATGACGTTTCAGGGTTGGTTGTTCCAAAATGTTGGGATCTTGTCAAGGAGCATAGATCGCACGTAATTTTGGTCAGATTTTAGGTGTGAAAACTTTTACGGTAAATGTTTCGGAAATACGTTAAGGTATAACCAAACAAGTAATATAATCTTAATTCCATTGAGATTGATAGATCTTTTTAGTTAATCTTTAAATCTTACAGGTACGTTTTTCATAAAAATGCCAGATGCTTGAATATATTATTTTTAAAAATTACATTCTTTCCGGAATCTGCATAAAGTCTTCATAAATTTTAAGAAAAAGAAAACTGAGTAAACTCAGGTGACCTATTGCTATCCGTTTTCGTCCGTCGTTGTGCGTCGTCCATCGTCCGTCGTGCGTCGTGTGTTAACATTTGAACATTTTCAGCTTCTTCTCTGCAACCACTGAACCAATTTCAGCCAAATTTGGAAGGGGAACAAAAATTGTGAATTTCATGATCCCTGCCCCCTGGGGCCTGAGGGGTGGGGCCAA